CAAATTTTGAGTGTTTTTTTTTTATTATTTACATACACACACACACATTAATGAACTTGGAGATATTTCACTGATTAGGTACATTGTAAATATTTGAATTTGTAACCGGCTAGCTTGGGGGAGAAGGGATTGTTAGTATAGTGGACTACCAGTCCTATTGCTAGCAATAGGTCAGGTCCCCTCTGGTAAATTCCAGGTGTATTCATCACGATGATCTAACTGACCTGCCTGGGGGGAAAGGGATTGTTAGTAATGCGGTCTAATAGCCCCATTGCTAACAATATACCCCCTCAGGTCGACCTCCACGCGACTCCCCCTGGAAATCATCATGTTTAATTCTTGTCGAATTAATCATGGTGGGCCAACTGATCTGCATTCATTCTCACCTATCATCTTCCACTGGTGCCTCATCGGTGTATGCCGGTAGCGCGGGCGGGGTTACCATTCGATTTTCACCCATTAAAAAATAACTGATCTACCTAGTCATCCTCACCTATCATGTTTACCTGGTACCCTGCCAGTGTACACCGATAGCGCAGACGGGGTTGTATCGTCAATCTAATTAACAGGGGGGAAAGGGATTGTTAGTAATGGAGACTGAGAATCCCATTGCTAGCAATATACCTAACCAGGTCGACCTCCTCGCGGTTCCCCCTGGAAACTATCATGGTTAATTCCTGATGAATTCAGCATGATGTGCTAACTGGCCTGTTTTCATTCTCATCTATCACCCTTCACTGGTGCTCCGCCAGCGTAGCCCGTTAGCGCAGGCGGGGTTACCATACCATTTTCACCCATAAAAAAAAATCTATTAACAAAAAAATTCTAGTTGTATCCAGAAGCTTTACTTGCGTGAATCGGTACAAAAACGGTTTTATCAAAAACGGTTGAATAATTTAGTTTTTTTATTAAAATAAGGATATATAACAAGGATTTACCGCAACTAGAAGTTTTTTTTTTAATTTTTTTTATGCGACATATATTAATTATTTATTATCTCGGTCATTGAATATGTCTCAGTTAATTAGACAAAATCTCTGACATTTTCTGAGTGCCTAGTACGTGTTGTATGAAGTAATGCCAGAATTGAAGGCTTTTTTTTGTGGGACAATTTTTTTAAAAGGGATTTTAGACGAATTGAGAAAATTTTGGATTGCGGTTAAAAATTATTAGAATTTTTTTTTAAATATTAATTTATTGAAGTACTAATTCTATATATATATATATATACTAGCTGACTCGGCAAACGTTTAACCATATACATTATTTCTAGAACTATACATGAAAATTTATCCTACTACAATTATTATATTCGATTGCCATCTTGCAACCCTATTGCGGTATATAAAAATAGCGATTAAAAAACAGGAGTTGATCGTAAAAGCGTGTAAATTTTAATTTGTATGTATTTTTCAATGCTAAATCATAAGATAAAAATAAAAAAAAATTACAAAAAAATAAAATTTCATAATAATCGGTAAAGCCGTTTCGGAGGAGTTTGGTAACAAACACCGCGACACGAGAATTAACGAATTACTTAGAATTACTTAGCGATAAGGCCGCATTTTGTGTCACTTCTCATTACAATTAAATGTATTTATTATTTTATAAATGGTGTAATAAAGTGTAAAAATAAATAAAAACATACTCGTATATTGATACAAAGTATAAGGTGGCCCAGCATTTTGCCTCTTTTATTCTCTATTATTTTAATTAATGTTTCTTCTCTTTCACTCTTTTCAGGACTTTCTCACTCGTTAGTTTTTCTGTCCAGCTTATCCTTTCTGTGATGTACTCATTAAAGTTGAGACTGCAAGTCCCCCCGCTCCTGCCACTCCTCTGGGTGACGTCCGGGCGGGTGGTCGTGTGAGTCGCATTGTGATATATTATTGTTTATTATTTCCTACACCTACCTACCATACCAGGAGGACAGCACACTTTCCATTCTCCTCCATGTCCACATTTCGAATGCCTCAAGCATCTTTCTTTCCTTCTGCGTCATTGTCCATGTTTCACACCCATATAATGCTATACTCCAAATATAAGTTTTTATAAATTTCTTAAGGATTATTTTTGCATATTTTTGATGTAAATATATGTTTTTTCTTGTCATAGGCTTGTTTTGCGACTGTTATTCTAGTTTTAATAACCAATGTGCACCTAGCGTCTTCTGTGATTATACTTCCCAAGTACTTAAAGTTCCTAACATTTTGGATAGGTATGTTGTTTATTTTTATTTGACTTTGGGTTTGCAGTTCAATTGGCTTTTTAGAAGTACTGAGTATTTTGGTTTAATTTGTGTTAATTTTGAGTGACAGGAAAAATAGAGGGCAAAAGAGGAAGAGCAAGACCGAGGAATAACTACATGGGATAGATAAAGGAAACACTAGGTGTCATGTCCTATAGGGAGATCAAGGATATGGCCTGGGATAGAGCTGGCTGGAAGAAGGTGCATGAATTAGTTGCACCGACAAGAGGGAACTCTTAAATGAAAAGAGATTGGTACAATGTAAATATGAGCCAATTAGTTACGCGCTCGTGAAACCAGTTAGGGAATGGCGCTATTTCACAACCACCAGTTTTTAATGGCGAATTATGCATGATGTTATGCTGTCTACATACTGCCAACAGTATGGCGTAATTTACTTACTTCACTAGTTCCAAACAGAAACACGAGTGGGACAGAAGTACCCAAGCTGACGACTTGTATGTAAACTATCCGTTTGATATCATAATTTCTTAATTGGTATCAATATTTTCTCCTGGAAAAAAATCTTAAATTACCTATTTATTTATACTTTTGAACACATTAAAATATGTGATAGGGAGGACTTAATACCTCATGACATTCTCTACCAGTCAACCGTTACGATAGGGGGGAAAGGGATTGTTAGTAATGGAGACTGAGAATCCCATTGCTAGCAATATACCCAGCCAGGTCGACCTTCTCGCGGTTCCCCCTGGAAACTATTATGGTTAATTCCTGATGAATTCATCATGATGTGCTAACTGGCCTGTTTTCATTCTCATCTATCACCCTTCACTGGTGCTCCGCCAGCGTATTCCGTTAGCGCAGGCGGGGTTACCATACCATTTTCACCCATCAAAAAAAAACCGTTACGATAAACAGAGAGAGAATAGATGGCGCTGCATTGATTAAAAAAAAAAACTTTTAAATTAAATATTTTAAGAGATAACAACTAAACTTACAAATGTATAGAATAATATACCTATAAAAAATATACAAGCGTAAATCACATACAATACATATATAAATAACGTCTTTTATTATTATTATTACTTCAGCCGTTAACCGTCCACTGCTGGACATAAGCCTTCCTCGTAAGGGAAGTTTTGACAGTAGTTGCCACGCTTGGCAGGCGGGTTGGCAACCGCAGTTAGTCTTTAGAGATGTTTTAAGAGGGACGCTGCTGCCCGTCCCTCGCCGTCCCTTAGTCGCCTCTTACGACACCCACGGGAAAGGAAGCGGTGGCCTATTCTATGCCGGGACCAAACGCCGAATAAATAACTATACATAGTACATATTAAGTTAATTAAAAAAACTAAATATATAATAGTACAGATTTTTCATTGTTGCGATAAATTGAAGTAACGTTCACGAAGGGATTTTTTGAAGAAAAGTTTGGTTGGGGACATGTAGACATATCTTTTAGATTGACGTCGGTCTGGAAGCATCTTTATAACATTTCTCAGCCTGTACGCTAAACGATCCAACCGGTTCAATCCGGATATAACTGGCTAGATAATTTCTAATCCTTACTACCCTGTCACTAACGCGAGTATGATATGATTGGAAATATCCGATAGTAGGCGGGAGAAGGATTGTTAGCAATGGAGTTTGACAGCCCCATTGCTAGCAATATGCCCTATTAGGTTGACCTCCGCGTGGTTCCCCCTGGAAACCATCGTGAACAATTCTCGTTGAATTCGTCACGATGGACTAACTGGCCTGCTTCATCCTCACCTATCATCCTTCACTGGTGCTCCGCCGGTGTATACCGATAGCACGGGTGAGGTTTATACAACTTAGAATGGCAAATCAGCTGACGGTCCACCTGATGGAAAGTGGTAACCGTCGCCTATAGACATGAGCAGTACCGTGGACATGACAGAGTATACTGTTTCGCCCATGATACCCCCCATGCGTTGCCATTCCTGAGGACTCAAATGTTATTCCTCTGTACCCAGTAAATTCACGCCATATCCCACCGTTCAAACCGAAACACAGCCATGCAAGCACAACTGCTTCACGGTAGAAACACGAATGCGACAGAGGTACCCAAGCAATCGACTTTTGTACAAAGTCTCCCTCGGTTTACCAATTACCATTCCATTATCGCTCATAAAAAAAAAATATCCGATAGCAAATTGTTCCGGCATTACTCAATGACTATAGCAATAAATTAAAGGAGTTTTTTTTAGCTAAAAACTGGTGTATGTTTCATGTCTATACGCCATCAAGAACTGGTTTATTTTTATAGCACTGAGGTGGCGAACAAGCATACGGCCCATCTGATAGTAAGCGGTTACCGTATCCTATGAACGCCTACAATACCAAGGGTATTACGCGCGCATTGTCGACCCTAAAGTAACCTCTTTACCCCCCTTTTGAAGAACCCCATGCTCTAGTCTCTTGGGAAATCCTCGCCAAGGAGTTCATTCCATAACCTGAGTGTTCATAGGAGAAAACATCTCTGGATTTCACAGGTACAAAGTATCGCGCAAAAATTTGACAACACAGGGGGCAAACGAGCATGCGGCTCGCCTGATGGTAAGTGACTACCGCCGCCCATGATCACTCACAACACCAGCGGCATTGCAGGTGTGCTGCCAGCCTTTTAAAAAGGAATATGCTCTTTTCTTGAAGGTTATGTTGTCGTATCGGTTCGGAAGTACTGCTGCTGGAAGTTGATTCCAAAGAGTGGTTGTGCGTGGAAGAAAGTGCCTATATCGTAAAATTTCGATATTGTTCTTTGCAGAGCGCTCTGCGGCCGTATAGAGTCTTACATCACGTCACTTCCACCTCCGTTCAAGCTGCAGAGGCCGCTACTGGCGCGCGCCGCCAGCACCGAAGCCAGGACCCCGGCCAGGGCGCCTTCCTTCAGCGTTTGCTGGTGCGTCACCACACCCGTGAGTTGCTGACACTTTTTATTGCATAATCACTCTCACCCAGGGGTAAAGGGATTGTTAGTATTGGGTATCCATGCAGTTCCTCCTGGAAACCGTCTTGATTAGTTCTTTTTGAATTCGTCGCTATGGGCCAACTAACCTGTTTTCTATCACCTCACCTATCATGTTTCCCTGGTACTCTGCTAGCGTATACCGATAGCGCTGGTGGGGTTACCATTCCATTATCATCCATTAAAAGAAATCTTCCTGACCGTCTAGCTAGACTAACCTGTGTGGAATGAAATTAAAAAAAAACACAAAAAATTATCTTTACGGATCTTTTTTTGCAACTTAGAATGGCTAACAAGCTGACGGCCCACCTTATGGAACGTGGTAACTGTCGCCTATAGACATGAGCAGTACCGTGGACATAACAGAGTATACTGTTTCGCCCATGATATCCCCCAGGCGTTGCCATTCCTGAGGACTCGGGTGTTATTCCTCTGTACCCTGTAAATTCACTACCATATCGCACCGTTCAAACCGAAACACAGCCATGCAAACACAACTGCTTCACGGTAGAAACACGAATATGACAGAGGTGCCCGAGCAAACGATTTTTGTATAAAATCTCCCCCTGGTGATTATAATAAGAATTAAAATCTATTTATAATGGAAAATAAACAAACAAACGTGAGTATACTAGTCCCTACAAGCAGCATCCGTTCACGAGTATGACGGATGAGCCAGCCATCATTACACCCTGTGTTTATGATTATTTGAAATATTAATTTATTTATTTATAATGTCAATATAAAAAAAAAAAAGTTAAAAAGCAAAGAATTCATTCAAATTGTAAAAAAAATTTTCAAGTAACCATTTTGTTAATTAAAATTTGAATTTTTGAATTTAGTATCAGACACTTCGTAAAGTTAATTCCTGGTGAATACGTCACAATCACGTCGACTCACTTGCTTTCCTCCTCACCTATCATGTTTCCCTGGTACTTCGCCAGCGTATACCGATAACGCAGGCGGGTTTCTCCTTACATGTCATGCTTCCCTAGTACTCCGCCATCATATACCGATAGCGCAGGTGGGGTTACCATTCCATTTTTTCTCATGGCGTGAGGTCTATGCCCAATAGTGGGATTATTATGTGGATGTCATGATATCCCCAGTTCCCGGAGGTGGTGAACGCGACCACGGGCAAGCTGGAGAGCGGGCAGCCGTCCCTGCTATGCAAGCAAAGCATGTTCGCGCGGTGGCTCTACGTCGCTACTAAGCTACCTTTGCTGCCTCAGGTTATAACCTATTATTGTTTTTGTTAGGCATTCTTTTTTTTTTAACTACCTCCAAAAATTTGAAATTCTCAATTTGTCCGAAATATCTTAGATTATACAGATACAGTGTCTCCATACAAATGCTTTGAGAAAAACGGCTCGACTTTTTCATACAATTTCACGTGACAAATAGTTACGAGCGATTCCTTTATAACTTGTATATTTGTTTTGTTTTATAATTTCTGCGTCTTTTTAATGCGTAAACACTCATTTTATTTATTAAACAATTAAATATAGATACGTCAAGGTGCATTGTGTGCGTAAGTATATAGAACACTGGTAAGGGAACGAGTCAGCCAATTTGACAATTAGCTGACGAAAAGTTGACCCGTTTTTGAGGCTCGACGCTCTCTATGTAATCTAAGGTTACACTGTTGCCAAGCGACTTCAAAAAGAGGTTGTCGATTCGATTGTATTATTTCTATGTCTGTCACCTCATAACTCCGTCAGTTGGGAACCGATTTGGAAAATTCTTTTTTTATCTGAAAGGATATATTAACAGGTTGATCACGTAGAAATTTTATCAAAATCGGTTGAGTAGTTTATTTAAAATCAAAATTTGTTTAATTTGTTCAGTTTTGCTATAGTTAAAGTTGTTTTTTTTTTAATACAATTTTAACGTTATTTACTATCAATTATATTTGTCATTACATTAACCTTTGTCGTCTATTCTTAAGCCGGGACCACATGGTAACATATGTCGTTGCCATGTGGTCCCGGCATAGAATAGGCCACCCCTTCCTTTCCCGTGGGTGTCGTTAGAAGCGACTAAGATAGGGCGAGAGATGGACAGCAGCGTCCCTCTCAAAACATCTCCAAAGCCTAACTGCGGTTGCCAACCCGCCTGCCAAGTGTGGCAACTATAGGCAGAACTTCAGTTATGGGAAGCCCTATGTTCCTATGACGATGTAACCTGTATTTGTGTATTGAAACAGGAGGACGGCGTATCAGAACCGTTGCCTGAACAGTTGGACAGCTTGCTGTACAATGAGGCTAAACAGATGTGTCCTTCATATCAGGCTAGTATAATATAAGCTCTTAAATGGTCAATACTATATATATATATATATATATATATATATATATATATATATATATATATATGTGTGTGTATGTATGTGTATGTATGTATATATATGTGTGTATGTATGTGTATGTATGTACATATATGTGTGTATGTATGTGTGTGTATGTACTCTCACTACTTCCTATGCCACTGCGTTAGGTTGACTGGAAGAGATCTCTTTTAGAGATAAGTTCGCGTTTGCTAACATTGTTATTAACTTATTGTTGTTACTGTATGTTTTAGTGCAATAAAGAATATATATATAATACTATGTTATAACAAATATGTTTTAGACATAAGACATTTGGGATTACCTATCAACCACTCCCACTCCTACCCCTTTACAGTGCAACTTGCCAGATTTGGGAACTCCCTCCCAAATGACACCAGAATGGCACACGCCGTTCTTGCCTTCAAAGTTCAAATAAGATTTTACAATACAATTGACAATTGCTACTCCATGTTTTCCAGATTCATGTTTTACCAGAGGGAGACTTTGTACAAAAGTCGTTTGCTTAGGCACCTCTGTCCCATTCGTGTTTCTACCGTGAAGCAGTTGTGTTTGCATGGCTGTGTTTCGGTTTGAACGGTGGGATATGGCAGTGAAATTACAGAGTACAGAGAAATAACACCTGAGTCCGCAGAAATGGCAACGCATGCGGGGTATCATGGGCGAAACAGTATACTCTGTTATGTCCACGGTACTGCTTATGTCTATATGCGACGGTTACCACTTTCCATCAGGTGGGCCGTCAGCTTGTTTGCCATTTTAAGTTGCAGTTTTTTTTTTTTTTTTAATTTTATTTATCTATACACTGTTATTAAGTATATAGTTACTAATATATTATTTTTGCACCATATATGTTATTCAAACCTTATAAATACTTTCTCCTTTCTAGTTCTCAAAGTTGACTGTAAGAAATCCCTTCAAGGCTTTAAATTCACCTGTGTACATTTTCGTTATAATCCAATTTCTATATTTAAAGTATATATACAAAAGCACATATATACATAGTTTTAATGTCATATTTATTACTAAAATAACTCCATATAATATCAGTTTAGGTAGAATACCCATAAAGGCTAAGCCTCTATTAACATTATGTGTCCACAGGCCGCAAAAGAACGTCTAATCCAAGCATTCGAGAAAGCGAAACTAGGCCGTTGGGTGAAGAAACCACTGGAGCAAGATCAGTTCGTATGCGAGATACTAAACGCAGAACCAACTGCACTGTTCGCCTAGGCGGGCCATGCTCTAAGTGATTATACCACGGTGCAGGATGAGGTTAGTGGTTTGGGCGATCGGGATGGCGGTGAATGTGAAAGGAGTGGTGAAAACGATGATGAACATGATCCAAACGGTAATAAGAATGATTTGGAAGGTGATGAGGTATGTTTAAATGTTATTGATAATTTAGCAATTGTAAATAATGATGAATTCAATGTGCATGATTTTAGCATAAGTAACAATTCGAAATCTTGTTATGATAATGAGCAGAGTGGTAAAACTACTGTGGTACATAGTGATGCAAATATTGCACAGAGCAATGATCTGCATAAAATTAATTTAAGTAGTAATATATTATTAAATAATAACGAAATAATTGAAAAAGAAAATTTAAATACAACCAAAGAAATAAGCGATAATATTGAAGGAAACAATAATGATGTTATTGCACTATCTAAATCAATATGTTCTTATAGAAATAAAAAATCTACTAAAGCGGATGCAAAACCGCAGAGCGCTCAAGTTAAAAATAAAAGTTCAAGTGTAGAAAACTGTAATTTTGATACTAACGTGTCAAAATTACAGCAAGGTCTCGACAGAGCTAGAGAGAACACAATATCCGATACAGGTACATATCATAATGATAATGAAATTGAAAATAATAATCACAATGTCGAGAATCGCTCTAAATATGCAAAATCGAGTAATGAAATAGCAAATCCTTCAAATAAAAATGAAACTAGCGATGCCATTAAAGCGCCTAGTTTACTAGATATATCCTACACGGAACAAGATAGAAAGAACCATGTAGTTGCAATTAATAAATGTATTTGTGATGTAAATGTTGAAAATGAAGAAAATAATACGAACAATGCTAAAATTAATAAAATCGATGCCCAATCTAGCATTGTTTCCAATATTAAAGAATTTGATGTTGTAAATACAACAAAACAGGTTCAAAATAGTAATGCAAATAATAGTGTTTTATTAGAAAAACTAAGGAAATGGCACAAAGTTGGAAACACTTTTGATAAGGAAGAAACTCGTGGAGAATTTCCCATAGATGATGTATCTTTTAATAATAATGCACAATTAAAATGGCAAAATAAATGTATTAAAAACTTGAGTAAATTTAATATAGATAATTTTAAACATGTAGTTAATGCACAAATGAAATATGTACAGTCATCGAATGATAATGATAATGGTAAAATTACAAATTCGAAACTGCCAGTTAGCTGTGAAACCAAAATATGTGATACTAAATCCAAAACAAATGAAATTACAGTTTCATCGAAGGAAATTAACACATCGAAATGTTTATCTGATGATTCTAATAAAGATTCTGAAATACAATCAGATAGTGATAAAGTTGGTATAAATGAAAATTTACAAGACAATTCTGATGCAATAGTAATACCAAATGTAAATAATCATGAATTAAACAATAATACAAAGGACGTACAAAAGGGTAGAAGTGTTTTATTGGTGAGGAAACTTGAAATTCTCAAAAACAGATACAAACCGGTCACGTAAAGAGGACTTTACTAGCAGTCTCTGTTACAGCTGCCATAAAGACTTCCACTGTGCTAAGCCAATAGTTTTATGGCTTTTTTTCTTCCATAAAAGCAACGGTTTTAAATGTTTCTGAAATCCTGTTAGACATAATGAGAATTAGAGTTTTTAAACTTGATTTTATTTCATTACAGACAATGTCAGTAAAGGAATTGTCAAGGTATTAGCATGTTTTTCAATTCGCCAATTGTCTTCCTCGCGATGTTTCTGATGTAACGTTCTTTATACGATATCGCCCAATGTCCAACGGATATTTTACAAGTTAATTATTATTTTTTTTTTTTGTAGAATTTAGAACTAGTTTCATCAACAACGTTTAGTTATATTTTGACAGTTTCTGTCACTAGTTCAATTGTAAATATTTTAATTTGGAACAGAATCGTAACTATGTATTTGTTAATGTCGCAATATCGTGCAAGTGTCATGCTGCTAGATCTATTTAAAAGGTGTGAATTTGTATTAAAGTTTTAAAATAAGTTTTAGTAATAAATTCGCATGATTTGACAAGGAAAACAGTGTGAATGTATTATGTCGTGTCCGCGCTGCCTGGCGGGCTCAAGTAACGGGCTTTGTATAATCCGCCGGTGTAAATGTAATAGTACGCTAATAATACATCGTTGCCATAATGGACCTATTTAACTTGGCGGGTTGTACCACGCAAATTATTATACGATTCGTGTGAATGAGGCTTTTTAATTACCTGATTTTTTTTTTTTGTCTTTATTTTTTTTAACAAAATGATGGCGCAGTCTGACGATTCGTAGTATTTGGTTAATTATTTAATTTCAATTCTTTTATTACTTTTTAACTCTATGTAAATTTGTTTTTACGCTTTAAAACCGATGAATGAAGAACGAACGGAATGAATGAATGTGAGCGAATGAGTTTGAATGTAGAGCGAGAAGGATGTTAAAGTATGTGTCCGTCATTTAGACGTGATCGCCTGAACTTTTGTTGTACACTGCTCCTTGTTATGTACGCATAGGGCGTGACCAACCTTGGTATCGAATTATGTACCCACCATTTTTTTTTTATTTTTTATTTAAATCTGCCACAGAGATGTTCAATAGAGTGGTCATATTGTGATATTAATTCGAGTAAGATTAAGTTAATAGTTTATTTTTGGTGGTCTCTGGGAAGCTTTAGATGTCATGTGTGTGTCTCAGTTGGGAAAGTAGGCAAGGAATATAAATCTTTTTATTTAGGACCTGATGATCATATATATATATATATATATATATATATATATATATATAAGTTTAAACAAAATTTCATTAGATAACATTTACAAATGGTGGGTACATAATATATGTTCTAATTGAAATAGCAATAGCAATTTAATAACTGTAATTATTTAATGATCAGTGAAAAAAAAAAAACAAAAATTGATAAATAATAAATGAATGAAAACATTTCTCTAGCAACTAGCAGTATCTCAAAACATAATTGTTCCATAATGTTTTATTTATTTTTTTTCTAAAAATAAATAAATAAATAAATAATAGTCATTCAAGTATTTGTTGTAACTGTAGGCTGTGTAAAAGTTAAATGTAACTGTCGTATTACTCGAATGAATAAATACTAATGTCACCATCGATCAATAATACAAACTAGATGCCTTGTCAAAATGCCAAACGTAATTGTGCAAATAACGTCTCGTTCACAGTGAGGTCGTATTTCGAATAGTTTAAAACTGAGCGTTATCTCTACAGTAGGTGTACAACATAACCTTCAAGAAAAGAGCATATTCCTTTTTAAAAGGCCGACAGCACACCTGCAATGCCGTTGGTGTTGCGGGTGATCATGGGCGGCGGTAGTCACTTACCGTCAGGTGAGCCGCATGCTCGTTTGCCCCCTGTGTTGTAAAAAAAAAGGTGTATATTTGTGTTGCCCTCCTGGTATGGTAGTTAGATGTAAGAAATATTAAACAATAATATGTCACAGGGCGACTCGCACGATCATCCGATAGAACGTCACTCAGGGTAATGGCTTCCGCGGTGGTTTGCAGTCTGAAATATTCATGATTGTTAGGATTTAGACAGCCTAAAAAGTGAGGTTGAGTCTGAGACACCGTTTCTTTAAACCTCTAATATGTTAATTTGATAGTTTATATTAAGCATAAATTATGTTTACCGCGTGGTCCCGGCATAGAATAGGCCACCCCGTTCCTTTCCCGTGGGTGTCGTAAAAGATGACTAAGAAAACTTAATGGTTGGTTAAAAATTTTTTAAGAGCCTAATATCGGTTGCCAACCATCTGCCAAACATGACAACTATTGGGGAAACTTATGTAACTTCCCCTTGAAGAGGTTTTGTCCGTACTTCCCACGCGTGGCAGGCGGGTTGACTACAGCAATTAGGCTTTGTTGATGTTCTTAGAGGGAAACTGTTGCTTATGCCTCAAATATTAAGTTCCCTTAGTCGCTTTTTAAAAGACCCAGGACGAAGAAAGGTGTAGCTTATTCTCTGCCGGGATGAAATTTAGAGATAGGTTAAAAGAAATAGCGCTTCAGAAACATGCCCAATGTTGACATAAGAGGGCGCCACCATCACACCGGTAGTAGTAGCGATGGTTGGCCCTTGTGGAAATTTAAATACAGTCATTACGAAAAAATTAGTATTCTACAATTTGGTATTTGACTGCGAAAAATTAAAATAAATCTTTGAATATTGTTAGAAACGTGAAACCAATCGTGTATTAATTTATAACAAATTCTCTAAGAGTACAAATGTTTTATTTTTTTTATAAATTTTTTTATATATTTATTATTTGCATTTAAAATTTACATTTATGATTAAAGTTTTAAGATTTTTTTTTTTGATCATGTGAGGCGTTATTTAGAGACAGTATATTTGAATTTATTTCAATACATCTAGTTGGTATCTTTGATCGATGCATCGAAGAAAGTATTTTATGTAATGAAATGAAATAAATAAATATTATTTTACTAATATGTTTGTCTTAGTCAGTACGAATCATGAAATATATAAATTGAGCGAAAATGTAATAGACGTTTCTTGGGTACCTTTGTCCCACTCGTTTTTTTCCTGTGAAGCATTAAAAAACACAGCCAGTAAAGCAAAGTGGCTGTTTTTTTGAGTGAAAATGGTAACCCCAGCTGTGCTATAGGTATACGCTGGCCGGGTACCAGGAAAACATGATAAATGAGGGAACTATGTCATATGTAAATTCAAGAATCAACGATCATGGTTTCCTCTAGCACCATGTGTATGTCAATTCGACAGGCTGTTTTAGCACCAGGATCGGTAAATTTGATTACTAACCCCCTCCCCCTGCGTCGCTGTCTTAATTTGAAGGGGGAAATGTCACAGTTAAAGTATAGGGCACATTGGTCAAGGGTCAACCTCCACGCAGCTCGCCATGGAAACCAGTGGTTAATTCTTGAATACGTCACAACGGGCTAACTGACCTGGGAGCCAAATGAACAAATTTGATGTTAAAAGTTACATAATGCCGTTTGGAAATATCAAAAATGTTAAAATATTGTTCCTTTGGACTTTTATGGTAGGATGTATGACGAACGTAATGTTAAACTCCATGTATTGGTCCGATTTTGGTATAAACGAAAACACGAAATCAAGTCCGAAATTTTGGAATTTTACTTCATGGTAGACCCGCTGTTTTCATCCTCGCCTATCATGTTTTCCTAGTATCCCTCCAGCGTATTCCGTGAGCGCAGGGTTCGAAGATTACCAGGTGTCAGGTGTTACGTCCCATTATCCATCCACTTAAATCTTTTAGAAGGTAAATTATTAATTTGTATTGAAAAAAAAATTGTTTTTTTTTTAATTTTTGATAGAGAATTTAAAGGGACGAGATGAGAATTTAATGTATATGTATGTTTTTCTATCACCACCTCCAGTATTATTATTTTTAAAATGTGATGTACAATTATTTTAATATAAATTTACACTTATAAACTGTTTTATTTGGTGTACAAAAATCTGCTTGGGTACCACTGTCCCCCTTGTGTTTCTGCCGAACATCTGTTCTCGGATGGCTGTGAGGGTGGGATATGCCATGAGATTACAGGGTACATAGGCATAACACCTTGGTTCTCAGGAATGGCAACGCATGAAGGGTGCCATGGACGTCACAGTGTATTTTGTGGTGTCCACAGTGCTGTTCACGTATAGACGACGGTTGTCACTTTCCATAAGGCGCGCCGTAAGCTTGTGCGCCGTTTTAATAAAAAAATATAATTTATAAATCCGAGCAGAAGGTACCAGGCTAACATGTGTTCTAAGGAGATATTTCTTCCGTCGAATCGACTTTTTAAAGGAGTAGGTTTTTAATTCGATTGTGTATTTATCATATGGAGACTTTATAGAAAATCGTCTGCTTGGGTACCTTTGTCCCCCTATTGTTTCTACTGTAAAGCAGCTGTGCTAGCATGGCTGTGTTTCGGTTTGAAGAGTGAGATATGGCTGTAAAATTACAGGGTATCGAGGCGTAACACTATAAGACTTCAGGAATGGCAACACGTAAACCGTATCATGGGTGTCACAGTGTATTTCGTCGTCTGTCTTGGCTGTCCATGTCTATAGGCGACAGTTGTCCATTTTTTTTTATTACCCTTAAAATGGCAAACGAGCCGACGGCCCGCCTGATGGTAAGTGGTAACCGTGGCGTTTACGACATGAAGTATCATAGAAAAAAAAAATATTGAAATATAATTTTTCATTTTTTAACCAACTTCAAAAAGAATGTTCTCAATTAGTTTATTTTTTAATGGGTGATAATGGTATGGTAACCCCGTCTGCGCTATTGGTATACACTGGCGAGGCACCAGTGAGGGATGACAGATGAAGATGAAAGTAGGTCAGTTAGCCCATCCTGACGAATTCAATTAGAATTAGCCACGATGGTTTCCAGGGGGAACCACGCGGAGGTCGACCTGACAGGGTATATTGCTAGTAATAGGGCTATTTCACCCCATTACTAACAATCCCTTTACCCCCAATTAGGTTGTATATTTTTTTTTATGTTTGTCACCTCATAACTCCGTCAGTTGTAAACGGATTTGGAAAAATCCGTTTTATCTGAAAGGACACGATTTCAACCTATAAGTACAAACTTACAGGTTAGTGCCACAGACATTTTGTTGTGCGTTTTTCAAGGCACTTTCTCCCACGCACAACCACTCTTTGGTATCAACTTCCAGCAGCGGTATTTCCGAACCGATACGACAACATAACCTTCAAGAAAAGAGCATATTCCTTTTTAAAAGGCCGACAGCACACCTGCAATGCCGTTGGTGTTGTGGGTGATCATGGGCGGCGGTAGTCACTTACTTGACAATAGACTTACTTTACTTACTTACTTAGACAATGACCTGGCTGGAGAACTACTCACAGCACAACAATCTACGAGACTGAGACGATGGCTTGTATTGAACCTTGACACTGGAGTTTGAAGAGCTTTACAAAATCATTCTGAGACTGAGAGATCCGTCAGTGGAGTGCTTCTCAAAACGCTAATTTTCACACATGACACTATCTGATTATGGCTGTTATGGAAGAGCCGATTGCAGATAACAAGAGGGGGAAAAAAAGTAGAATTTCGATAATCCGGACATCGATTATCCGGACTTATTTATTAAGGCCCTAATTACCGATTTAGAAATGGTATAATGTATTTATTAAGTAAATAGATATTATGTAATCCATTATCTTTATAGCTCGTAATTTTTTTTTTTTTTATATCGTATTGTCCAAGTGACGTATGTAAAACCATTTACACAATAAAAAAAATATTACAATTTTATTGTCGTTTGATATGTCTTTGAAATTTCGGAAAATCCGGATTTTCGATTATGCGAAAATATCCCTTTTTTTATTTATTTATTTATTTATTTAAATTGTGATACATAGGTAACAATGGGTGGTAAAACAAGATAAGTCCTCTATGATCAACTCCATATATCGGGGGGGAAAGGGATTGTTAATAATGGAGACTAAGAATCCCATTGCTAGCAATATACCCAACCAGGTCGACCTCCTCGCGGTTCTCCCTGGAAACTATCATGGTTAGTTCCTGATGAATTCATCATGATGTGCTAACTGGCCTGTTTTCATTCTCATCTATCACCCTTCACTGGTGCCCCGCCAGCGTATCCCGTTAGCGCAGGCGGGGTTACCATACCATTTTCATCCAATAAAAAAAAAACCCATATATCGAGGTATACAAATTTGCAATTATATAAGTAAAAACAAATTAGATATATAAAAAAAATCAATAATGTCACATTTATAGTAAAAAATTATAATATTATGGAAATTTATTACATTTATCTTCAAGGAAATCGTCAATTGAATAGTATGTATGTTCTGTTTATTAGGTATTCATACAGTCTAGTTTTAAATTTTTTATGTCAGCCATATCTGTGAGGGATTTAGGTAATTTATTATATATTCTAGGTGCCATCCCTAAGACACTTTTAGTAAATAACGTCGTTCCATGTGGTTTTGAAATGATTTTGTGGTTCCTGGTTTTATTTGAAATTGTACTGTGTATTGTGCCGAAAAAAAAAACCACATATATTAAAATATATTTATTGATACAATAAAAACGGATTTTCATTATTGGTAACTTATAATAAAGTTATTTTAAAAGCATTTTTAATTAACGTTTAATTAATTGAATTCCACCACCAGTATACGTCCAGACGTTGGAAGGTGAGAGTTCTGGATTTTTCTATATTTTTTTTAACTGTACCAGAGGGAGACTTTGTACAAAAGTCGTTTGCTTGACCACCTCTGTCTCATCCGTGTTTCTACAGTGGAGCAGTTGTGTTTGCATGGCTGTGTTTCGGTTTGAACGGTGGGATTTGACAGTGAATTTACTGGGTACAGAGGAATAACACCTGAGTCCTCAGGAATGGCAACGCATGGGGGGTATCATGGGCGAAACAGTATACTCTGTTATGTGCACGGTACTGCTCATGTCTATAGGCGACGGTTACCACTTGCCATCAGGTGGGCCGTCAGCTTGTTTGCCGTTCTAAGTTGTATAAAAAAAATGTGGTCGGCCTCCGAACTGGCGACCTCTGCTGTCTACCGATCCTGTGTGGGTGGTCGTATATTTTTCTGTAAAACACGTGTAAGGTTTCTTTCTTTCTTCCACTATTACTGATCTATTGACACCGGCACTTGTTCAAAGCACTCTCCATGAGGTTTAGCAGTTCTTTGTACAGCATGCAGTGTCTACTGGAGGGCTTGCATATCTCTCTATGGTCGACCGACACGCCGTACAATCCACCGATGCCCGCGTCTGGGAAAGGTAACGTAATTTTTAAACTGTATTATTTATTTAATTCTTTATTGTACACACCAGTTACAAGAATATGTCAGAGGTAATCAAATGTACAAAGGCGAGTTTAACTCTGACAGAGTTCTCTTGCAGCAACACCCAAAGTGGAAAGGAGCATCAATGTCAGCGAGTTTGTGTTTTTTGATGGGTGAAAATGGTATGGGCATCATGGGCGAAACAGTCTACTTATACTCTGTTATGTGCACGGTACTGCTCATGTCTATAGGCGACGGTTACCACTTTCCATCAGGTGGGCCGTCAGCTTGTTTGCCATTCTAAGTTGTATAAAAAAAAGTTTCTTTTAATTTTTAACGTGAGTAATGAAATTGCTTCACTGTATAAATAGTTTCACGGAACCCTGGTGACTTTACGGAACTCCTAAGTTCTGGAGAACCCACTTTAGGAGTCGCTATTCTAGAATTTTCCTTACCAGCTGAATGGACGCTGACAATCCTCAGCCAGAGCACAGACATCAGGGTGCGGGTCGTCTCCACCAGGCTACGGACTGCTGGCCTGGTGACAGACGTGGCCCGCAGCCAACGCTCCTGCAGCGAGAGGACCAGGGCGCAATCTGAAAATGGCAGAGATAGAACGGATATAGAATTTTTATGTTACTTAGAAAGACAAGCTCACGGCCCGCCTGATGGAAAGTGTGGACCGTTCCATAGTACAGATAATATATATATATATATATATATATATATTGTTGGCTCATGACGAACTCAACAAAGGGGGAAGGGATTGTTAGTAATGCGGACTGCCAGTCCCATTACCAGCAATATACCCTATCAGGTAGACCTCCACGTGGTTCCACCTGGATATATATATATTCAGGCCAACTGACTTTTCATCCTCGCCTATCATGTTTCCCTGGTACCTTACCTCCGTATACCTATAGCGCAGACGGGGTTATCATTCCATTATCACCCATTAAAAAAAATATATGTATATATATATATATATATATATATATAATAATGAGTATATCTATATACATACATACATGCATATCAACACCTACACAAATACATAAAAATATATAAATGTTGTTTACATATATACGTAAAACACTTATAAAATCTTTTAGATGTCTGTGTAAGTATGCTAGCTCAAATAAAAAACCTTAAGTTTTGTTTTAAAACTAGCCAGACAGACATAAATTACGACCTAGCTTACCATATAGGATATTTTATGGACTAATTCACGCGAGCAAAGCCACGGAACACAGACTGGTGAGTTATAAAATAATTTCACCTTTGCTTATCTCCAGAAGTTCGATGCTTCTTGCTGTGATAGGCGTTTTGAAGTCCGCAAGCGGGGACCCCCTGTGGGGTACCGAGTAAAACATGAAACCCACGCTATTCGACCAAATACCACACTTTCTTCTCTCCAAGTCCTCTGCAAAAATTTTTATTACTCTAATATAACCTTTCACCAGAGGGAGACTTTGTACAAAAGTCGATTGCTTGGGTACCTCTGTCCCATTCGTGTTTCAACCGTGAAGCAGTTGTGTTCGCATGGCTGTGTTTCGGTTCGAAGGGTGGGATATGGCGTGAATTTACACGGTACAGAGGAATAACACCTGAGTCCTCAGGAATGGCAACGCATGGGGGGTATCATGGGCGAAACAGTATACTCTGTTATGTCCATGGTACTGCTCATGTCTATAGGCGACGGTTACCACTTTCCATCAGGTGGGCCGTTAGCTTGTTTGCCATTCTAAGTTGTATAAAAAAAATATAACTATTATTTATTTATTTAACTCTTTATTGCACCATAAACAAAAATATACAATGACAAGTGAATAATTCAAGTGAAATACAGTAACGTAAATACAGATTGAAATATACACATAAAGGTACAAAAGGCGGTCTTATCGCTAGGGCGATCTCTTACAGACAACTTTCGGTTAAAGGAGAACAGATAGAAGTGGGCAGGTGGCGCAAGAGTGAATTAATAACTTAAGTTTATCAATCAATTCCCTAGTCCACGTAGTACCCTGCTTTTTTTATGGGTAATAAAGGAATGGTAACCCCGCCTGCGCTATCGGTATACACTGGCGGAGTACCAGGGACACATAGATAGGTGAGGACGAAAAGCCAGGTAAGTTAGCCCACCGTGACGAATTCAACGATAAATTAGTCACAACACTTTCCAGGGGGAACCGCGTGGAGGTCGAGCTGACAGGGTATATTGCTAGTAAAACCATTTGACCCCATTACTAACAATCCCTTTCTCCCCTAGGTTTAGTAAGTTAAGCGAGGGATGGGCAACAGCGTCACCCTTAAAACAGCTCTAAAGCCTAATTTCGGTTGTCTATCCGCCTGCCAAGCGTGGCAGCTACTGGCCAAACTCCATGACATAAACCTCCCCCATAGACTGTCACAAAGAACGCTTCTGAGCTACCTGCATCCACTGACTCCCTGCAACGCATTTCAGGTCGTCACTGCATCTAGTGGGGGGTCGTCCTACACTGCGTTTACCCGTACGTGGTCGCCACTCAAGAACCATTCTTCCCCATTGGTTGTCGATTCCTCGGGTTATCCTTCGGGTTATGTCGGTTATTTTGGTTCTTTTGCGGTTCATATTACGTTTTTTTTTATATACAACTTAGAATGGCAAACAAGCTGACGGCCCACCTGATGGAAAGTGGTAACCGTCGCCTATAGACATGAGCAGTACCGTGGACATAACAGAGTATACTGTTTCGCCTATGATACCTCCCACGCGTTGCCATTCCTGAGGACTCAGGTGTTATTCCTCTGTACCCTGTAAATTCACGTGTACGTGTACTAATGAATAAATAAATAAACCGACTAAACCGTCTTTAAAAAAAAAAAACGTTCACGCTCACTTTTTTACTTTATCCGAGCAGTGAGTACTTTATATTATTCTCAATTTCGTGTACAATATAGTATAAGTCATATATGTGTATGTATATTTGTTATTTATATATATTTATTCGTTTATATATGTAATGTTAGTATGTATGTATATCAATAATTACTAGTACCGCATTCGAGTATTCTGACACTTGCCTACGGTTGACTGGGAGAGAATGCTTTCAGCATTAAGTCCGCCATGTACATATATATGTACTAATGAATAAATAAATAGATTCAATAAAAAAAAACATGAAACACTGCAACTTTACCTTTGTTATCTGAAGACACTGTACGATTATCAATCCTTACATCACCACTGTCGTCCAAAACATCACCAATACCTTCAATATTGTTATTTAAACTCGCATCATTGTCTGCAGCATCCAATTCTGAAGTAACACCATCGTTCTCTTCGTCTATATTCAGAATTGGGTCACGATTACACATTCCGCCACTAACAGAAGAAGTTACCGTTTCCTTTTTACCTGTCCTGTTTCTGATATTTGTTACACGAGGATCAGAATTACTAGTTTCATCAATCTCTCTCTCAGTAACAATATGTCTTGTAACTGTAACAATGTTATTTTCTAAATCTTTTATATTGTTTACATTTAGTGCACGGGGATCAGGTTCGTTGATCCCGTCGATCTCTCTTGCAGTAGTAAATTTCTGTGTTACATTTTCACTATTGTTTTCTAAATCTTTTATATTATTTACATTTAGTGCACCGGGATCAGGTTCGTTGATCCCATCAATCTCTCTTGCAGTAGTAAATTGCTGTGTTACTTTTTCACTATTATTCTGAAAATCTTTTATATTATTTGTATTTAGTGCACGGGGATCAGGTTCGTTGATCCCATCAACCTCTCTCACAGTAATAGTATGTTCTGCAAATATTTCATTATTGTTTTTATTGTCTTTTATATTATTTAACTCGTTATCCTTGTTATATTCAGTTAGGTCTATATTTTCTGTCTCATTTCCGTTTACTTTATCTTCAGTATGATTATTGCTATTAAATTCTTTTCCTGCTCTTAAATATGCTTCATATGCTGAAATTTTAATTAGTTCATTAATTAATTTAATGTTAGTAAGAAATTTAATTTTCGTTCCCAAGATACTGGTCTGGCCCAGTTTGGGAAATGATGGTAATGCAGACTTTTTCTCTTTCAATATAAAATGTAAAATTAACGCATTTTCATAATTAGCAAATACTGTTTGGCTTATTTGTAAATGTTTGTTTTTGACTTTGTACAAAAGTCGTTTGCTTGGACACCTCTGTCCCATTCGTGTTTCTACCGTGAAGCAGTTGTGTTTGCATGGCTGTGTTTCGGTTTGAACGGTGGGATATGGCTGTGAATTTACACGGTACAGAGGAATAACACCTGAGTCCTCAGGAATGGCAACGCATGGGGGGTATCATGGGCGAAACAGTATACTCTGTTATGTGCACGGTACTGCTCATGTCTAAAGGCGACGGTGACCACTTGGTAAAAGGATGGTGGTGAACCGTCAGCTTGTTTGTCACTCTAAGTTGCATAAAAAAATGTTCAAATGTTCAATCTCATTTAAAACTTGTACCACTGTGATCAAATGACACTTGCTCAGCGGTCGGTCAGCTGTCAAACTGCGTAGTCTGACTGTTGACAGATAGTGTTGCAGGTGTCGCAATTCTCTTTAGTCTAAGTTCAATGGTGTCTGTTACTAAGAACAAGGAATTACATAGAAGGAATGATAAAATAAAAACTGTAAATCATATGGTTGCCTCCTTTCTTCCTATGCAAGTATAATTAGTAAAAAGAGGACGAAAGATACACCATCAGTTGCTATTTTTTTCAATACGTAGCTGGCCAGTGTATAGAAAATGATATGTCAATTATTTGTCAATGGCAAATGTTACATTACTAGATTATATATTGGACACAGTTCATGTAGAAAGTATGCAAGCGGGTTGTATTTTTTTTTTTTTTTTTTTACAACACAGGAGGCAAACGAGCATGCGGCTCACCTGATGGTAAGTGACTACCGCCGCCCATGATCACCCACAACACCTACGGCATTGCAGGTGTGCTGCCGACCTTTTAAAAAGGAATATGCTCTTTTCTTGAACGTTCAAAGAGTGGTTGTGCGTGGGAGAAAGTGCCTTGAAAAACGCACGGTGGAGGACCGCCACTTGTCCAGATGGTTGGGATGAAATTTTAGTTTATGGCGGGTTGTACGATGGTGAAAATCTGCAGCAGGTATCAATCCGAACAATTCTTCAGAGCACTCCCCATGATAAATTCGGTAGAAGACGCACAGAGATGCAACATCTCTACGCAGTTTCAGTGGGTCGAGCCGGACAGTAAGACGCCGATCGTCAACAATTCGAGCTGCCCGACTTTGAATGCGGTCTAACGGAAGGAGCTGGTACTGTGGCGCTCCTGCCCACAGGTGAGAACAGTATTCCATGTGTGGCCTCACTTGAGCCTTATATAGTTTCAGGCGGTTTTCTGGCGTGAAATACCGTCTCACCCTATTGAGCACCCCCAACTTTTTGGAAGCTATCTTAGCTTTTTCCTCCAGATGACCGCAAAACTGGACGTCGCTAGATATACGAGGTTTGTCCGCAAAGTACGTATAAAAGTTTTTTAAAAATTTTATTTTACAATTATTCAGGTAAATCAATTTTATCCCCTTCAAAGTACTCCCCCTGTGACATAATGCACTTGTGCCAACGCCGTTTCCACTGTGAGAAGGCTCCTTGAAAGTCCTCTGGTTGTAGGTTTCTCAGCTGCCCCGTCGTAGCTTTTTTTATCTCATTTATGTCCCCCAAATGCCGCCCCCGAAGTACCAATTTGGTTTTTGGGAACAAGAAGAAGTCACACGGGGCCAAATCCGGCGAATAGGGGGGTGTTCGGTCACCGTAATGGAATTTTTACTCAAAAACTCACGGAACGATCTTGGCGCAAATTTTTTTCATTTGAAGTTCGTTTCTTAGAATTTCGTGGACCACGGTTTTGCCCAAATTAAGCTCTTCAGCCACCTGTCTGACCGTTAAACGACGGTCCCCATTAACACAAGTTCGAATTCTTTCCACGTTTTCGTCGGAATGTGAAGTGGAAGGACGTCCTGAACGTGGGTCATCTTGAACGCTTTCTCGGCCCTCTCTGAATCTTTTTAGCCACTTGTGGACGGTTGGTTCCTTCACAGCATCATCCCCATAAACTGTTCTGAGATCGGCAAAAATTTCACGGCCACTCTTGCCGAGTTTCGAGAGAAACTTGATTACGACGCGCTGCTCTTCAACGGAAGCGGGCTCCATGCCGACGGGGTTTCGTTAAGAGGTAACTTCACAGATGGCGTGACAAGCCAGTTCGCACCGCACGGCGGTCAGACCAGAACTGAAGCATTGTTAGGGACATAAGGAAGGGGTCCTGCGCTTACCTGGCCTCCCCACTCCTCTTTCTCGCATTCCAGAACACTTTTATACGAACTTTCCGGACAGACCTCGTATTGACGCCAAGAATCCCCAGACTCGACTTATTATCGAGGGAAGTGCCCCGAAAGTAAGGAGATACGACAAACGGTGTCTTTTTTGCGGTGAACGCGCAGACTTCTATCTGAATTTGGTAGGGTTATACGGCCGTATAACATTTTCTATACACCAGCCTGCTACGAATTGAGAAAAATAGCAACTGACGGTGTATCTTTCGTCCTCTGTTTACTAATTACATTTGCATAAGAAGGAAGGAGGCAACCATATGATTTACAGGTTTTATTTTATCATTACTTTAGACTTATCCGAATTCAAACGGTCTCACCCTGGAACGCCTTTCGCTCTCCATGGGTTTCGACATCCTTCCCCCAGTGCACTTCACGCACTATCCGGCAAACACTGCTCATCAGCTCTCCATCCTCGACATGGCCCTACTAAAGAACGTAGCCTTAAGGCTGAGTTCTATGGAGGTCCATGCCGAACTCATCTCCGACCACCGCCCCGTCACATTCTCGCTAGGCCCACCTGCAGACGGGGCGCCTCAATTCAAAGCGGTCACGGACTGGAGCCGGCTCGAGAAAGTTCTCGAGTCGACTAACTCTCCAGTACTGGACCGCATCCGGGACGTAGTCGAATCTATCGAGGAGACGACTACAGCCATAGACGCGCTAACAGAGCAGTCGGCAGTCAAGAACTGCTCCAGGGAGCAGTCCTTGACTGCCGACAGTTTACAGTTTTTATTTTATCATTTCTTCTATGTAATTCCTTGTTCTTAGGTCTGTTAATGAAACTCGACGTCAAATTAGAGGAGTGATTTAAAATTTGTGTGAACAATTTGGATTGATTAATTGGTGAGTTGTCAAATTATCTTGCTAAATAATAAACAAAAATTCAATCTAATTGAGAGCCTCGATCTTTTTAAATGCAGAGGCAGAGGATGCTGTAGTCTATAAATATTTACCTTCACAATAAATCTGCTTTATGAACAGCCCTCCTTTCGAGTGTCCCACCCATATTATCGGTTTCCCACCCACGTTCAACTCCAATAGTTGTTCTAACATTTGTTCCGCCCTTTCGTGGAGACGTAACCTAAAAATGTGAGTAAAGGAATTGTTACTAACCAGTGTTATCATAGCTAACAATCATTACATAGTCCCATTTCATTTTTATCCTGGCAACGTACAAAATCTGGGGAAGCGATTGTTAACAATATGCATATACATACATACAATCTTTAATTGAAGCTTAGGATGTCTGTCTATAAGAGATCGGATGATCCATAAATAAACATAGATTTTCCAAATAGACAGCAATAAGAAATAGTTCTCTATGGCTTGTAAAAACAAAATAAATACCTTTTACTTTCTTTGACCCATAACGGCCTCCACAAATATGGATCACTGGTGTAATTAATCGATATAACTCTAGCGTCAGGGTAATCCTCCTTGATCCAATCTTTGGGCCAGCATGCAGAGTAGCATTCGTCACAAACACACCCACAGCCCACTTCACAAGATCTACTCTCATTTATTTTACATTTACAAGTATCATTTCCATTTATTTCTACTTCGACTTCGTTGTTTTTACATTTATCGACTTCATTGTCATTTATTTTACCATCGTTTGTACTTTTGTTACATTTACACTGTGCACTTTCATCTGTATATCCTTCGTTTACATTACAATTATTAAATTTAATATCATTTTGAGCTTCGCATTCACAACTGACTTTTTCATTTACATAAACTTCATTAAATGTACATACATTGCCCTTATTTAAACCAGTTTCACTACCATATTTGCATTGTTTTGAATCACAGACATTATCACAATTCCTTATGTTTTCCTTATTAAATAAATCCCTTACGAATTCAGCTTGTACCTCGTAATTATCTACAATTTCAACTTGATCCAACAAACTATTGGTATAGAAGTTTTCAGTTATAAATATATCATCGTTTGGTATTATTTTTATGTCGTCATAAAATGTTTTGTTAAATTCTAAATCATTAAATTCGTCTTCGTACATATTAGCTTGAACATCTTGGCATTCACATTTATTTAGTTTCCTATCAATTAAAGGCACGATATCGGGTTGTATTTTGTACTTTGGTCTCCAGTCACCTTGACGCCATGTGTTGCCGAGTGAACCTGAGAAAGATTTTAAATTTCATGTAGCTTTGAATGGCAAACAAGTTGACGGCCCACCTGATGGAAAGTAGTAACGGTTGCCTATAGACATGTACTGTGGACGTCACTCAATATGATGCCTATCCTGTAACCATCAATGCATCATTATCAATCATCAATCAATCAATTGGATAATTTAGGTTTTGTTTATAAGAATGGAATTTAATTCAAATTATTCTGAGATCTATATAAGGCCAAAAGTCAGATGGCCTTTTGGTGGTCTTGGTGGTTGGTCAGACTGTTACTTCTCTCCACCAACAATAATATATATATTAAGAGAGAGAGATTTAAAAGAATAATTGTAGTATTCGTCACAGAAGATAAAGACATTCCAAAGCTTGCAATAGATTTAAAAAAAACATGATGATTTTAAAGTGCTTGCTAACGTGTCTATTATATATTTCTCATATTAACAATTACAATATATCAATAAATTTAAAAAAAAATATTTTTTTTTAAATAATATTACTAATTATAAATAGTCTCCCAACGCACTACGTCGAGGCAGCGTACCCAAGATACTAACAGCATTACCCCTTTCTAAACTTGTCTTTTGCGCAAAGTAGCTACCAGCTCTCTGGTTACCAGTATATGTGTCTATTTGAGAAAAGACAATTTGAATTTAAATTTAGGTTGCAACTACATACCATAGAGTCCATGGACAAAAATAACATCGAGTTTGTGGTCCGAAGGCTCGTGAAGCACCACACACTCGACCTTTGGCTCAGGGTGCAGATGGTCGGTGCCGGCAGCTCGGGGTTTCTTCGGTCCGTCTTTTGGAGGTACTTTTAACGCTGCAATAAAATGCGTATTTTTTTTTATACCACTGAGGTGGCTAACAAACATACAGCCCACTTGATTTTTAACCACTCGTGTTTTTTAAGAATAAATCAAGCAGATGCCATTTGGTCCTGGCATAAAATGGACCGACCCTTCCTTTCCCGTGGGTGTCGTAAGAGGTGGCTAAAGAAACATAATGGTCCAGGGATAGACGGGGATAGATTAAAACATCACCAAAGTCTGCGGTTTTTTTTTAATGGATGATAATGAAATGGTAACCCATGCCTGCGTTATCGGTATATACTGGCGAGGTACCATTGAGGGATGATAGGTGAGGATGAAAGCAGGTCAGTTAGCTCATCGTGACCAATTGCACAGAAATAATTACGATGGTTTTTAGGGGGAACCGCGTGGAGGTCGACCTAATAAGGTGTTGTGCTAGCTAATGGGTCAGTTAGTTCCCATTACTAACAATCCCTTTTCCCTTAAAGCCTGCAGTTGCCAACCCGCCTGTCAAGCGTGGCAATAATTAACAATTATTGGCAAAACCCCCCAAGGGGGAGGCCTATGTTCAGCAGGGATCAGTTAATGACTGATGTGTATATACATACCAGTAAGCGGCCGCAGCCGGGGTCTCATCATCAGCCGATGAAGCACCACCGTCGCTGTGCTCCACAAGCATGACACGCACCAGCGGCTGTTGACAAACAGAAATACATATAGACGTTTTTATACCACAAACTATATATATATATATATATATATATATATATATATATATATATATATATATATATATATATATATATAATTGATGGGTGAAAATGGTATGGTAACCCCGCCTGCGCTAACGGGATACGCTGGCGGAGCACCAGTGAAGGGTGATAGATGAGAATGAAAACAGGCCAGTTAGCCCATCATGATGAATTCATCAGGAATTAACCATGTTTAGTTTCCAGGGAGAAATGCGAGGAGGTCGACCTGGTTGGGTATATTGCTAGCAATGGGATTCTCAGTCTCCATTACTACATTACTAACAATCCCTTTCCCCCGCTAATGATGTGATGTTGTACCAGCCGTTAACTGTCCACTGCTGGACATAGCCTCCCCATTAGGAACAATGCCTTCCCCCCCCCCCGCATGTTGAGGTCGTGTGCAGCGGTATAGTGTGCGATTCCCCGTATCTCAAATCTTGCTCTCATCTCGAAGCAAAATATCGCTCGCTCGGCGGCTCGTGTCTCAAAACACACGTATATTAGGGCCCTAGTATATCGAGGTACCAATGTATTCGTTACAGGACTTGTGTATAGATATTGTAACTAAAACATATAGAAAAAACTCAACGGAGGGTGACTTTGTACAAAAGTCGATTGCTTGGCCACCTCTGTCACATTCGTGTTTCTACCGTGAAGTAGTTGTGTTTGCATGGCTGTGTTTTGGTTTGAAGGGTGGGATATGGCAGTGAATTTACAGGGTACAGAGGAAAAACACCCGAGTCCTCAGGTATGGCAACGCATGGGGGTATCATGAGCGAAACAGTATACTCTGTTATGTCCACGGTACTGCTCATGTCTATAGGCGACGGTTACCACTTTCCATCAGGTGGGCCGTCAGCTTGTTTGCCATTCTAAGTTGTATAAAAAAAATATAGTTCTCGAAATAATGTATATGGTAAAACAACGTTTGCCGAGTCAGCTAGTCTTTTTATATTATTTTTTGTGTAATATATCTTTTTATATGTTATTGTACTCATGCTTTCCTGGGTGAGCGTATTGGAAAACTGTAAGGCTCACCCAGTGGATGAAATAAATAAATAAATAAATTTCTATATATTTCAAACCCCCATTGTCGTTTTACACAGTGTAATGCAACTACATGATTGGTGTGTTTTCATAGACGCCCTGCGTCATCTCTTACGGCCGGTGATCGGTCGTCCCTCGAATTGGGGACCGGTAGACAGCAGAGGTCGCCAGTTCGGGGGCCGACCACATACTCTTTTGTTGCAGTATCCGGCCGTAGTACCTTTCTAATGCTCCCCAAATATTGCGTCTAAACTGCGCCCACCATGTACCCTCTTGTATAGGCATTCCGTCACCCGTGTCCAATAGCGAGGACGGGATGCCTTAAACACTGTTCCGCAAACCATAAAAAAATAAACAATGGCTTACTCGAATCAAATAACAAGTTGTTTAAATAACATATTTTTCCACATTGTTTTTTTTTTTTTTTTGCTTTTGTTTTTATATTTTTTTTTGTGCATTGGAATAACCATAAACGTCATATTGTACTATGTGATGTAAATTATTGATTTTATTTATTTATTTATTTATATGTTTTTATACATTCACTTGTAGTATAGATTTTTTTTTATAATGGAATGGTGACCCCACCCGCGCTCTCGGTATACACCGGCGGGGCACCAGTGAGGAATGATAGGTGTGGATGAAGCAGGCCAGTCACGATGGTTACCAGAGGAAAACGCGTGGAGGTCGAGCTGATAGGGTATATTAGGGGACTAACCTCCCCATTACTAACAATCCCTTCCCCCCGGAACTACAGACAGAAGTCGTTTAATTGGTTACCTCTGTCCCATTCGTGTTTCAATCGTAAAGCAGTTGTGTTTGCATGGCTGTGTTTCGGTTTGAAGGGTGGGATATGGCTGTGAATTTACACGGTACAGAGGAATAACACCTGAGTCCTCAGGAATAGCAACGCATGGGGGGTATCATGGGCGAAACAGTATACTCTGTTACGTCCACGGTACTGCTCATGTCTATAGGCGACGGTTACCACTTTCCATCAGGTGGGCCGTCAGCTTGTTTGCCATTGTAAGTTGTATAAAAAAAAATGAAAAAAAAACTACATAGAAGCGGGAAACAGTAAACAATATATTATATGTTACAGTACAGACTTGAAGTCGACATGACAGTGGGTGGGGAACAAGGCGTGGGGCCCGGATACCACAATGAATGTCTAACAAGCACTAACTGCGTGATTGTATAATAAAACTACTTTAATGATATAAGTAGAGGCCTGTCACGGACCCGTTTACAATAATAAAGTACCTGCATACATCTGACACGGCGCCATCTAGGCAGAAACTTAATATAATATTGTTGTAGCTAATTAGGATAGGGCTAACTGACCTGCTTCATCCTCACCTATCATGTGCCCCTGGTACTCCGCCAGCGTATACCGTTTCTCGAAATAACGTATATGGTAAAACAACGTTTGCCAAGGCATATAATATATATATATATATATATATATATATATATATATATATATATATATATATATATATATATATATATATATATATATATATATATATATATATATATATATATAATTACGAGTATTCTGCCACTTGCCTACGGTTGACTGGGAGAGAATGCTTTTAGCATTAAGTCCGCCATGTACACATATATGTACTAATGAATAAATAAATAAATATATTACAGGGAAAAACTTTTAAAATTACATGATTTCTTAATTAATGAATCACAGACGTGACGAATTTATGTATTTATTAATTTAATATGTACTATGTATAGTTATTTATTCGGCGTTTGGTCCCGGCATAGAATAGGCCACCGCTTCCTTTGCCGTGGGTGTCGTAAGAGGCGACTAGGGGACGGCGAGGGACGGGCAGCAGCGTCCCTCTTAAAACATCTCCAAAGCCTAACTGCGTTATATTATCCGCCTGCCAAACGTGGCAATAACTGGCAAAATCCCTCTAAGCTCTACTACCCGTGTAAAGCCTGGCGGATAGCTAGTTTTATTATATTAACAAGATACATTAGGTTGTATAAGGCTCGTCCAGAGGCCCGTCGTATAAGGTTTCTCAACCTTGACATCCATTCACAGCAATTTACGTGTAAATGTGATAGATACCCATTGGTTCGCATAGGAATGGCGATTATCAACGATTAAAATCGATCTTTAAATCGATTCGAATCGAATTCTGATAAATCGATTCATAAAAATATCGATGTCTGAAACTTCAAAAGAAATTAACTACACTACACTAATATTATAGAGAGGAAAGATTTGTATTTTTGTGTGTATGTATGTTTGTAATGAATAAACACAAAAACTACTTTGTCGTTATCAAAAATTCTTTCACCATTAGAAAGCTACATTCACCCCGAGTAACTTAGGCTATATTTATTGCTAGAAAACATTAGGGGATCCTTACTAAAACTTTAGTAACGTAACTCGAGGTGTAAAAAAATGCTATAAAATATCTTTGGTCGCGTGCGCTGCGGAAACTATTGGTGATAGAACAAAAGTATGTTCTACAATATTAAAGGAAATATCAATAACTACAAAAAACTTCGCGACACTATATGTTCAACTATTGTCGTTATGTCACAATAGCCACTTTTTAAAATGTTGTAAAAATGTCCACATTGAAATGTTAATTCGATGAATGGATTCACTGCTACATATCGAGTTAAAAGATCGATTGTTTTACAGAAACAAACGTTTCTTTGATTAATCGATTCGACGAGATGCCATGCCTAATTCACAAGCAGGGGGGGGGAAGGGATTGTTAGTAATGAGGAGTTTAATCTCCATTGCTATCAATATACCCTTTCAGGTCGACCTCCACGCGGTTCCCCCTGGAAACTATCGAGACTAATTTATCGTTGAATTCGTCACGATGCGCTAACTAACCTTACTTTACATCCTCAACTATCTATGCATCCCTGGTACCTCGCCAGCGTATACCGATAGCGCAGGCGGGGTTACCATTCCATTATCATCCATTAAAAAAATATCACAAGCGGAGTTATCTGACACTAGCACCATGCTACATTTTTTTTTAAATGGGTGATAATGGAATGGTAACCCCACGCGCGCTATCGGTACACACCGGCGGGGCACCAGTGAAGGATGATAGGTGAGGATGAAGCAGGTCAGTTAGCCCATCGTGACGAATTCAACGAGAATTGTTCACGATGGTTTCCAGGGGGAACCACGCGGAGGCCGACCTAATAGGGCATATTGCTAGCAATGGGGCTGTCAAACTCCATTGCTAGCAATCCCTTTCCCCTCCCATCGGATCAGTGTCCATATTAACTATATGTCTTTTTTCAATGGCTGATTATGGAATGGCAGCGCCTGCGCTAACGGTAAACGCTGGTGGGGCACCAGTGAAGAGTGATAAGTGAGGATGAAAGGGCAAGTTAGTTAGGACATCATGATGAAAACACCTGGAATTCAGCACGATAGTTTCCAGGGGAGGTAGACCTGTATTTAAATCGATTTCCAAAAGGAGGAAATTCTGAATTCATCCGTGATTTTTTCCCGGCTACGATATTATACAGACATAGGTATTTGGGTCCAAACGGTTAAACAATAGAGGTCACGAGTCAAATGTAAAGTCAAGGCGTCACGTGAACGACTCGAGTACAATTTGGTAACGCGTTCAATTCTTGTTTGGAATAATACAAGTTTATGTTTAAAAAAAAAACCCGATTTCAGTCGAAATAAAAACTAGCAGTCAAGTTTTTTTTTGTATACCACTTATGCGACAAACAAGCATACACCCCACCTGATGGTAAGCGGTTACCGTAACGTATAGTATTATATTATGTATGGTAATGCGGATAGCAAGTCTCATTGATAGCAAAATACCCTGTCAGGCCGATCTTCACGTGGTCCTTCTTGGAAACCATCGTGCTGGATTCTAGGGGCATTTTTTTTTATATATAATATAGAATGGTAAACAAGCTGACGGCCCACCTGATGGAAAGTGGTAACCGTCACCTATAGACATGAGCAGTACCGTGGACATAACAGAGTGTACGGTTTCGCCTTTTTTTTTATTTTGTTTGCGTTGTCATTCCTGAGGACTTAGGTGTTATTCCTCTGTACCCCAGTAAATTCACTGCCATATCCCACCCTTCAAACCGAAACACAGCCATGTTAACACAATTGCTTTACGGTTGAAACACGAATAGGACAGAGGTGTCCAAGCAAACGACTTTTGTACAAAGTCTCCCTCTGTAAACTCTGCTCCCTATTGCCCATCCCTCGCCCTACCTTAGTCCTTACGATACGCACGGAAAAGGCATGGGTGGCCCATTCTATGCCTGGACCATACGGTTTCGTGACTACAAACTACTAACACTAGGGGGGAAGGGATTGTTAGCAATGGAGTCTGACAGCCCCATTGCTAGCAATATGCCCTATCAGGTCAACCTCCACGTGGTTCCCCCTGGAAACCATCGTGAACAATTCTCGTTGAATTCGTCACGATGGGCTAACTGGCCTGCTTCATCCTCACCTATCATCCTTCACTGGTGCCCCGCCGGTGTATACCGATAGCACGGGTGGGATTACTATTTCATTATCACCCATTCAAATATTTGACGTTTAGGTATGTTGCTTAACCGCGCTATCGGGTCTCGTGTGTTGCAAGTCAAAAAGATTAGATAAAACAATTCTGGGTTATTGTAGACACTTGTAGACACATAGTACTTTTGGAGGTTACGAAAAAGAATCTTGTAGGTAGATACCAGAGGGAGACTTTGTACAAAAGTCGATTGCTTGGGTACCTCTGTCACATTCGTGTTTCTACCGTGAATTAGTTGTGTTTGCATGGCTGTGTTTCGGTTTGAAGGGTGGGATATGGCATGAATTTACTGGGTACGGAGGAATAACACCTGAGTCCTCAGGAATGGCAATGCATAGGGGGTATGATGGGCGAAACAGTATACTCTGTTATGTCCATGGTACTGCTCATGTCTATAGGCGACGGTTACCACTTTCCATCAGGTGGGCCGTCAGCTTGTTTGCCATTCTAAGTTGTATAAAAAAAAATGTTTTTTAATGGGTGATAATGGAATGATAACCCCGCCTGCGCTATCGGTACACGCTGGCAAGGTACCAGGGAAACATAATAGGTAAGGAGGACAAGGCAGGTCAGTTAGCTTATCGTGATTAATACGCCTTGAAAGCACGATGGTTTCTAAGGGAAAGCACGTGAAGGTCGACCTGTCAGGGTATATTGCTAGCAATGGGACTGGTAACCCGCAATACTAACAATTCCCCTCTCCCCCCCCCTCCCCACCTTAGGTAGTTCGTTTTTAATAGTTGATAATGGAATAGTAAACCCGTTTGCGCTATCGGTATACGCTGGCGAGGTACTAGGGAAACATGATAAGCGAGGAAGACAAGATAGGTCAGTTAGCGCATCGTTATGAATACGCTTGGAATTCAGCACGATGGTTTCCAGGGGAAGTACGTAGAGTACGACCCGACAGGGTATATTGCTAGCAATGGGACAGAAAGTCCGCATTGCTAACAATCCCTTCCCCTATTTTACTATTAGCCGGTAAAAAGTGTATATAATAGACTTAGAGATTAGGAAAGCATCACTCACACCAAAGCCACTAAATACGGGTGCAGTTTGACATTCCCCTGGCCGTTATTCTGGGCGACCGTGATGTCTCCAGACACCGCCATCTTGCAGCTGCCTAGTTGGGCCATGTACCTGAGAAATAAAAATACGTATGAACAAGAATTAAGATAAAAATCATTTGCTTGGCCACCTCTGTCCAATTCGTGTTTCTACCGTGGAGCAGTTGTGTTCGCATGGCTGTGTTTCGGTTTGATGGGTTTTTTTTTTTTTTTTTTTTTTTATAGAACTTAGAATGGCAAACAAGCTGACGGCCCACCTGATGGAAAGTGGTAACCGTCGCCTATACACATGAGCAGTACCGTGGACATAACAGAGTATACTGTTTCGCCCATGATACCCCCCATGCGTTGCCATTCCTGAGGACTTAGGTGTTATTCCTCTGTACCCAGTAAATTCACGCCAATTGGGTGGGATATGGCGTGAATTTACACGGTACAGAGGAATAACACCTGAGTCCTCAGGAATGACAACGCATGGGGGGTATCATGGGCGAAACAGTATACTCTGTTATGTCCACAGTACTGCTCATGTCTACAGACGGTTATCACTTTCCATCAGGTGGGCCGTCAGCTTTTTTGACATTTTAATAGGCATGGGCAATATAGATACCGATCCGATATCTATATATTGGGTTTCTCTGGACACTGATGGCGGGAAAATGGTCATCGCCCATTCCGATATCGCCCGTATCGGTCGGATATCTATTTTCGAATATGTTAAAAGTCTGTTATCAAATGTTATTTTTTGGATAACACTTTTAACATTTTCGTTATTGGACTAAAGTTTAATAAAGAATTTGTAACTAAAATACATAGATATTTGACTCAGACCTATTTTGCAAGGATAAATAAATAATACACTTGGAATTCAGCACGATGGTTTCCAGGGGTGACCTGTCAAGGTATGGGACTGGTAGTTCGCATTACCAACAATCCATTTACTTCGAGTAGCGTTTGCCAAAAATCCAAAATTCGAATTCATTATCTTATATATAAAATTCTCGTGTCGCGGTGTTTGTTACCAAACTCCTCCGAAACGGCTTTACCGATTTTTATGAAATTTTGCGTGCATATCGGGTAGGTCTGAGAATCGGCCAACATCTATTTTCCATACCCCTCAATGATAAGGGTGACCCACCCTTAAATATATATTTTTTATTTTTTTTTTACAATTTGCACGACATTAATTAGAATTACAACAGAATTACAACAGAACAGAACAGAACAGAACAGAATGAAATTGTGTGTGTGCGTGTGTGTGTGCGTGTGCGTGTGCGTGTGCGTGTGCGTGTGCGTGTGCGTGTGCGTGTGCGTGTGTGTGTGTGTGTATATATATGTGTAAGTTTTTATTTATTTATGTATTAATGTTATATTATTATTCATGTACTTTTATTATTTACATATGTAGGTATATAGAGCTGTTTTTATTGTATTATATATTCAATTTTTTACTCGGTATTATTTAGTTTATCTTTAACTGTACAGTTATTACCCTTGTACATTCAACAGTTTTCTTTTAGCTTCTAAAAGGTTGACTGTAAGAGATCCCTTTATGGGATAAGTACGCCATTGTATATTAAATCATTTATCAGTGCTTAATTTGAATTATGTACAATAAAGATTTTACAATACAATAAAATAAATACATATATGATGGCATAATAAACTTTATATGCTTGGTCAATGTACTTGTGACTATGCCAGCCACGTGGACGAAAAATTATGCCAGCTTTTTTCCAATCTAATTCCGCATTTTCGTTTATATGTTATGTGACTGGGAAATAGGAGTATTAGGAATTTCCTAAAATACCTAGAGGCATCACAAACCACCTCGAGTCAAAGACGTGCCGTGTGATACCGGCATAGAATGGGCCACCCTTTCCTTTCCCATGACTGTAGTAAGTTCAAATTTAAACCATCATTGTTCAAATAGTCTTGTTTACAAGCACTTTTTTTATTTAATTACCATGCAAATACATTAAAAAAACTATGGATTTTTTAGTATCACTTAAACCTCTTGGACTTGTTTGTGATTAACATTTCGTTTTTCTTATACAACTTAGAATGGCAAACAAGCTGACGGCCCACCTGATGGAAATTAGTAACCGTCGCCTATAGACATGAGCAATGCCATGGACATAACAGAGTGTATTGTTTCGCCCATGATACCCCCCGTGCGTTGCCATTCCTGAGGACTCAGGTGTTATTTCTCTTTACTCTGTAAATTATATGTCATATCGCACCCTTCAAACCGAAACACAGCCATGCAAACACAACTATATGAATAAATAAATCCAAAGTATCTTTCGGTATCTCATTATAACATGTAATGCCATTAAGATGCGATTAAGGAAGCTGGAGCGGATCGAGGGAAGGGCTGCAGTGTCCCTATTAAAACATCAGCGAAGCCAAACATTGGTTGCCAACCCGTCTGCTAAGCGTGGCAACTACTATCAATACCCCCCCCCCCCCTTATGGGGGATGCCTATGTTTAACAGTGAACAGTTTACTGTTGTTAAAATAATAATTATCACAACTTAAGATACTGAATATTCTAAATAGGGGGTTAAAAATGGGGATTAGTAGCCCCATTGCTAGCAATACACCCTGTCAGGTCGACCTCCTCGCGGCTCCCCCTGGAAACTAACGTATTCTATTCCAAGTGTATTCATCACGATAGGCTATTCTGATCTGCCTTTTCATTCTCACCTATCATGTTTCCCTGGTACCCCGCCAGTGTATACCATTAGCGCAAGCGGGGTTACTGTTCCATTATCATCCATTTAAAAAAAAGTTCTAAATACACCAGAGGGCGCCACTTTCAAATGCTGACATTTGTGATAATCGTAAGTATTTCACAAAATGTCTAAAATTCTATATTGCAGCGACATGCCTACATCGGATCTGTCTACGGGTGAATGTAAAAATAATTTTATTTTGTCGGTCCGTGGCTCGTACTATGTATACGGTGTCAAGGGCGACAATGGGCTCGTTGTAGAATTTTCCAGAAAGATTTTTTTCTGCCTTATTTTATTTGCTGTTCAAATTTATCACTATTCGATTTTTTTTTTATTCTTCTTAGAATGGCAAACAAGCTGACGGCCCACCTGATGGAAAGTGGTAACCGTCGCCTATACACATGAGCAGTACCGTGCACATAACAGAGTATACTGTTTCGCCCATGATACCCCCCATGCGTTGCCATTCCTGAGGACTCAGGTGTTATTTCTCTGTACCCAGTAAATTCACGCTATATTCCACCGTTCAGACCGAAACACAGCCATGCAAACACAACTGCTTCACGGTTGAAACGTTATAGTTGTATATTACACACATATATATATATATATATATATATATATATATATATATATATATACATATATATATATATATGTGTGTGTGTGTCTGTGTACATGGCGGACTTGATGCTGCAAGCATTCTCTTCCAGTCAACCGTTGCGAAATGCGTTATGCGTTACTAGTAATTATTGATATACATACATACTAAAATTATATATATAAACGAATAAATATATATGAATAACAAATATACTTAATAATATAATAACAAATAAATTAATATTATTATTAAATAAAAGTACTTTAATGCGAAATATGTATGAAAAAAAAATAGTCGGGACAAGTCTGCTCAAATCCGGATTGATGGTAACCCTATCCGCGAGCACGTTCCGTTTCGCACACTGTCGATTTTGTAAGTAAATTAACCTATTTCATTAATTGAATAGCCCGATATTGCAAGCGTAGGATGGGGTTATAACCCTCAATAATCTACTCCGTATAACGTGCTATTATAAAATCCACACGCTTGAATCGAAATGGTCACGTACGGTGCGTTTTTTTTGATGGGTGAAAATGGTACGGTAACCCCGCCTGCGCTAACGGGATACGCTGGCGGAGCACCAGTGAAGGGTGATAGATGAGAATGAAAACAGGCCAGTTAGCCCATCATGATGAATTCATCAGGAATTAACCATGATAGTTTCCAGGGAGAATCGCGACCTGGTCGGGTATATTGCTAGCAATAGGATTCTCAGTCTCCATTACTAACAATCCCTTTCCCCCGTACGGTGCGGTTTCAAAGGATTTTTTTCCAGCGGACGCTCAGGCTGTGGAATGAGCTCCCTGCCGAGGTTTTTCCAAGAGACTACAGTATGGGGTTCATCAAAAAGGATATATTAAGGTTTCTTCAGGGTCAGCAATGCGTACGTGACAATCCTGGTGTTGCAGGCGTCTGCAGGCTACAGTGACCGTTTACCATCAGACGGGCTGTATGCTTGTTCGCCATCTTTGTGGTATAAAAAAAATGCCAAGCTGTAATTATAGTACGTGAAAATTACATTTTCTCAAACATGCTTGGAAATGTGAGCATTATTTTGATAATCTTCTTCGAGATAAATCATTATTGCCGTACTGTCCAGATACATGCGGGCAGCGGCCGGCAAAAGTTGTATGAAAATCCATATCTGTCGTGTTTTGCGGCCAGATAAATTACTATGTAAACTCATATCTGTCCTGTAATTTAAAAATGGAATGACCTTTTACTTCGAAACATGGCTACCAAGGAGGTAACTAATAAAAGGTTTTCTTTAAATTTCGAACTGGCTTGCAAATAGAAAGCTGTTTATTGAAAAAAAAAACAAAGGAACATTCTGGCGCGTGAAAAATTATTATTGTTCGTTATTCGTCATTGAAATTAAAAAGTAAAATTGTGTTTTTGATTTCCGCGCATTGTTTGAGAAAAGTACTATACAAGCCTTGGCCACAACTAGGCATTGATGGACTCACGTATGCACGTTTGTCCATCTATGCCTCAGTTGCTGGCCGCTGCAGTAGTGTACTATAATTACATTTTGGTACATAAAAAAGAAAAAAACAGTTTTTTTTAATCCCCTCCGCGCTATCAGTATACGCTGGCAAGGTACCAGGGAGGCATAACGAGTGAGGATGATATCACGTCAGTTAGCTCATTGGTATGGTGACTAATTCGACATGAATTAATGATAGTTTTGCAGGGGGAACTGCGTGGAGTTGGACTTTATAGGATATAAATATATATATATATATATATATATATTATAAATTATTACCAATTTTTTTTAATCGTTATTCAGGTTAAATTTTCATATAATGTGTTTTTTTTCTGAAAAAATGTTTTATTAACTTCTGAGCATTATTATTGACAGTGTTGCTGTATTTTTCAATAGTATTTGTTTGTTTAATTTTGATTATATTTGTTTAGTTTTGTTTAATTTAGTATTGTCTAATTTTGTGTTTCGTTTACTTGTATTTTATTTTGTGCAAATTCTAGTGGCTACCAAATTACCAAATTACTATTTAAGTATATAATTATGTATTATTTTAGCTGTTCGTTTGCCTTAAATAAATAAATAAATAAATAGTGCTAACAATGGGGTATTTTTTATAGGTGAGAACGGAATGGTGACCTCGCACTACGCTATCGGTATAAACTGACAGGACACCAGTGAAAATAAAAAGGAAGGATGAATACACCTAGAATTCAATATCATGGTTATAGTCCGTATTAGTAACAATAACTCCCCCCCCCCCCCACAATAGGGCAGTTTTTCATGTCGTCAGATCGACTTCCACGTGGTTCCCCCTGAAAACCATTGTGAACAATTCTTGTTGAATTCGTCACGATGGGCTAACTGACCTGCTTCATTCTCACCTATCATCTTTCACTGGTGATCCGCCGGTGTATACCGATAGCGCGGGTGGGGTTACCATTCCATTATCATCTATAAAAAAAAAGATACCGATCCGATATCTATATATTGGGTTTCTCTGGACGTTAATAACGGAAAAAAGGTCAACAGCCATTCCGATATCGCCCGTATCGGTCGCATGTCTATTTTAGAGCATGTTGAAAGTCTGTTATCCAATATTAGCCACATGGACCAATGTTTCGCTCAGTAATATATATATATTCTTTATTGCACAAAAACATACAGTAACAACAATAAGTTAATAACAATGTTAGCAAAGGCGAACTTATCTCTAAAAGAGATTTCTTCCAGTCAACCTAACGCAGTGGCATAGGAAGTAGTGAGTGGGCAGTAGTAGTGCAAGACAGAAATTTAAATAAATATTTACATAAATTATAAATAATTATATATATACACACACATTCACATATATACATAATAATAATAATATCTTCTACATTATTTTACATCTTTGAAATGCGTTACAGATTCTACTGAAATATACGATCTGTATTAATACGCTATGATGCTATGTATATATATCTTCGAGTTAGTAATTTTTTTTTGATGGGTGAAAATGGTATGGTAACCCCGCCTGCGCTAACGGGATACGCCGGCGGAGCACCAGTGAAGGGTGATAGATGAGAATGAAAACAGGCCAGTTAGCACATCATGATGAATTCATCAGGATTTAACCATGATAGTTTCCAGGGGGTACCGCGAGGAGGTCGACCTGGTTGGGTATATTGCTAGCAATGGGATTCTCAGTGTCCATTACTAACAATCCCATTCCCCCCAGTTAGTAATTATTGCTCGAGTGCTTAAAATTAATAGAAAATAACCTCTGACTACCATTCTTCTAATGGTATTTGTCATTTATTTATTAATTACAATAAAATAATAATAAATTTAACCAGAGGGAGACTTTGTACAGAAGTCGTTTGCTTGGCCACCTCTGTCCCATTCGTGTTTCTACCGTGAAGCAGTTGTGTTTGCATGGCTGTGTTTCGGTTTGAAGAGTGGGATATGACAGTGAATTTACACGGTACAGAGGAATAACACTTGAGTCCTCAGGAATGGCAACGCGTTGGGGGTATCATGGGCGAAACAGTATACTCTGTTATGTCCATGGTACTGCTCGTGTCTATAGGCGACGGTTACCACTTCCCATCAGGTGGGCCGACAGTTTGTTTGCCATTAGAATAGAATAGAATAGAATAGAATAGAAATCATTTATTCAAATAAACTTACATTGAAGCACTTTTGAAAAGTCATTACATTTTTTTTAATTTACCGTTTACCGTACATTCTAAGTTGTATATAAAAAAAAAAACTATCGTTCTCAATTTATTTATTAAACAATTAAATATAGATACGTCAAGGTGCATTGTGTGCGTAAGTATATAGAACACTGATAAAAAAAAAAACAAGTCAGCCAATTTGACAATTAGCTGACAAACAGTTGAGCCGTTTTTGAGGCTCGACGCTCTATCTATATAATTTAAAATTATTTATTTATTTATTTATTCTATTTGTAGGGAGAAATATTACAGCTATAATACAATAATAACTTAATAAATTAAATATATATATATCAACAATAAGTTAATTAAACACTACCACATAGATATAATTTTTAAATTGGATCCGTTTTATTAAACTGTTCATATTTTTAAATGTAAATTAACTCAAAAACTTGTATGTCAAAACGAAATCGGCGCTTCTTCTTTCTTTTTCTTCATCTTTGATACTTATATATATTAGTAGCTTGGATTTTGTTGCTAAATTTCATGCGTGTTTCCATGGGACTACATAAATAATTATCTCTATGTTGTAAAAATACTATTATTGGCACTGTTAGGTCTATTGTTCTAAAACTGTGATGTATATTGTTGTTAATTATTTTGTAAATAAATTTATTATTATTATTATTTCTCACCACAAACAATTAAGGACTTAACATCTATAACTTGCAAAACATTTTAACAATATTATTTGTGGGAGCTGGTGCCTGTACTAGGTGTTAAACCTGTATTACAAGTCACCAGGACCCTTACCTCGAACAGTACAAATTATACAAATAAAAACTTTCACAAAAAAATGTTTGTTGCCATAAATAAATAAAAAAAAAAATATATAGTTAACGAAAATTGAATTAATTACAGCCTATATAATTAAAAAGTGTGCAAACAGAAGATAAACATCGTCACTGAATGAAATAGGTATGTATTTACTTGTTTTGTCATAAAAATGTACAAATTAACGAATATCTAGGTCATTTTTTTATGGGTGAAAATGGAATGGTAACCCCGCCTGCGCTATCGGTATACGCTGGCGGGGTACCAGGGAAGCATGATAGACGCGGATAAAAACATATCGGTTGGTTTTGTTTCGAATTTAACAAAAATTCACCACGATGATTTCCAGGGGGAACCGCGTGGAGGCCGACCTGATAGAGTATATTGCTAGCAATGTAGCTGTTAGACCTAATTACTAACAATCCTTTTGCCCCCGAATACCTAGGTAATCTAGATAAATAGAAATATAATAGATCTAGTTAAAAGTTTTCTATGTACTACGCTTAATTATGAAAAACATTATTTCACATAAAATAAATTTAAAAAATATATTTAAATAAAATACTACAAAATTAAAACACATGGTCACCCTATTTTTCCCGCGCTTAAATTTTTTTCTTACCATCACAAAAATCACAAGCACAATTCCATTCAGCCTTGTCCATACTAGTAGCACCGAAGATTAACTTGAATTAACACAGGTATAACACCAAATGTCACAGATAGAAATAACTTTTTTTTTTCTTTAAAAAAGATATGTTAATTTATTATGGTAATGCAACTATGTAACTGGTTGATGAACTTAGAGAAAAGAGGCTACTGAACAAGTTTTAAACAAATAAAAAAAGATTTGAATTTAGAACGCAACGACACCGACCATCTACGACGCGGTTTCCCGCCACACTATTTTCATTATAATTTTCTGTTAACATACTTGAACTATTCAAAGTTGTTACATTTGAAGCTTCTATTGCTTTAAGAATAAAGACGAAATTCTTGTGCAACTACAGCACATATAATTTTGTTAAACTACATAACACCAGTATCTCTCTACAAAAGTTTGTACGAACAAATTCATCTCTACACCTTTGTGTTAAAGTTCACATTGATATGGAAGTTAGAAAATGGTGTAGCCAAGCGGTATCTCACGTAGAACAAATTTATTAATACAGTTGCACGTTCCGATTGACGCTTTGTAAGTAATTGAGAGTTTATGTTTTTGAAACGCAGAAAAATTTTTGTTTCAAGTTTACGTTTGGTAAACGTTCTGACAAAGCTAATATGTAATAGACGACAATGATAAGAAGTAATAATATGTAGTCATGTTAACTTTATGAGTATTTAATTAGGCCATTATAATTCGAGGTCACAATACGAAGATTGGAATAAGAGATACTAAACGCATTGTTCGAAAGATATACGGTAAGTATAATGACCTGGGAAGATGAGGGGGTCTACCATGACATGTTTTCCGAAATTTGGCCTCCAATGAAACCGATTTGATGTTAAAATTACATAATAAATATCGTTTAAAAGGATTAAAAATGTTAAAATATCATTCCCTTGTACTTTTATGGCATACTTTTATGACTTCGCTATCAACAAAATTACAAAATTAAGTCCGAAAATGTGGAATTTCATTTCATTTTAGACCCCGAGAGACAAACTTTATCATCAAGTTTGCTTCGTTTTCATAATATTTTTAGGCCGACAAAATGCAATATTTGCGTAAAATAGGTACTCCGTCGATAATATATTCAAATTACATGATTTTTTAACTAATGAATCATAGACAAAATATTTTTTTTTCGTCTATGTAATGTGGAATCGTGTCGAATTAGGAACTAACCATGACTGTTTCCAAGGGATTGCATGAGATTGTCCTGATATGGGATTTTTTAACGGTTGATAACGGAATGGTAACTCCGCTTGCGGCATCGGTTCACCGGCACATCCCCCCCTACTGTACTTCCGCCAGGAGGGGCACGACGTGGCCACGAATGGCCCTAGGTCGGATCACAGACTCGCTGTAGAACTGGTACGAGTGCCAGTGGTGCGCAGAAGACTGTGGAAGGTGGTTAGTTAGGATTTTTTTTTAATTGATGATAATGGAATGGTTACCCCACCTGCTCTAACGGGATACACTGGCGGGGCACCAGTGAGGGGTGATAGGTGAGAATGAAAAGATATGTCGATTAACCTACCGTGATGAATACACCTGGAATTCATCACGATGGTTTTCAGGAGCCCACGTGGAGATCGACCTGACAGAGTATATTGGTAGCAATGGGACTGGTAACCCGCATTACTAACAATCCCTTTCCCCCAGCTCTATCTATTTTATTGCAAATAAAACGCAGTTTCAATGTTTTTTTTTTAAAAGACTGAATAATTTTTTTTTGATGGGTGAAAATGGAATAGTAACCCCGTCTGCGCTAACGGGATACGCTGGCGGGGCACCAGTGAGAGGGTGATAGATGAAAATGAAAACAGGCCAGTTAGCACATCGTAATGAATTCATCAAGAATTAACCATAATAGTTTCCAGGGAGAACCGCGAGGAGGTCGACCTGATTGGGTATATTGCTAGCAATAGGATTCTCAGTCTAACAAATTTACTATTCCATTACTAACAATCCCTTTCCCAGTGAGTAATATTAGGTCAGGACAAAGGTATGCCAAGTGTGAATTTAACTTTTGCCAGTCAGTAAATATGTTGTTTTTTTTTTCAATAGACTTAAAAAAAAGAGGTTCTTGATTCGGTTTAATATTTTTTACCTTATAACTCCGTTAATTGTCAACAGATTTGAAAAATTCTTTTTTTAACCTGAAAAATATACTTACAGATTGGTCCCATAGACATTTTACCAAAATCTATTCAGTAATTTCATTTTTAAATTGAAATAACTGGTGTTGCCAGACTGTAGGTTTTTTTTTTTTATAAGTGATAATAAAATAGTAACCCGCGCTATCGTTATACACCGGCGAGGCACCAGTGAAGGACGATAGGCGAGGATGAAGCAGGTCAGTTAGCTCATCGTGACGAATTCAACAACAATTAGCCACGATGGTTTCCAGGGGGAACCACGTGGAGGTTGACCTGGCATATTGCTAGCAATAGGGCTGTCAAACTCCATTGCTAACAATCCCTTTCCCGCCGCCAGACTGAAGTTGTTTTTTTTTTTGTAGAACACAATTAATACATACATACATACATACATATCTGTAACGCCTGTCTCCCATTAAGGTAGGCAGAAACAATGGAACGCCAAATGCTTCGATGCAAACAAATCAATTATTTAAATTTACATTTATTTACCGACCGTAATGGCGGCAAATAAGCATGTACAAAATGCCTGATAGTAAACGCTTACACCAGTCTATGGACGCCTGTTACACCAATGATATCACGCGCGTTGTTCACCTTGAAGGAACTACTTTTAAATTGATTTAAAAAGGTTTTTTTTTAATGAACGATAATGGAATGGTAACTGCGCTATCGGTATACCCTGGCGGGACACCAGTAACGGTTGAGAGGTGAGGATGAAAAGGCAGGTCAGTTAGCCCGTCGTGACGAATTCAACGATAAATTAGTCACGATGGTTTCCAGAGGGAACCACGTGGAGGTCGACCTGACAGGGTATATTGCTATTTGACCCCATTACTAACAATCCCTTTCCCCCCCCGTAAAGTATGGTTATTTTGTAGCTTCATATTTTTTTGTTTTTTTTTTTTGTTTTGTTATATTTTATGATATCTACTTGTTACTTATAAAAAATAAATAACGCAATGCAGAATTGTAGGGAATAAATAAATTAAATTGAAATTGAAAATACTTATTGAAAAATTTTCAACAAGTACTGTTATATCGATGCAATAAAGTGTTAAATAAATAAATAAATAAGATTCTTAATTCAATTGTAATTTTTTTTTATTTATTACTTCGTAATTCCGTCTTTTATTCAAAGTCTTGCCAGAGGGAGACTTTGTACAAAAATCGATTGCTTGGGTACTTCTGTCTCATTCGTGTTTCTACCGTAAAGCAGTTGTGTTTGCATGGCTTTGTTTCGGTTTGAAGGCTGGGATATGGCGTGAATTTACACGGTTCAGAGGAATAACACCTGAGTCCTCAGGATTGGCAATGCATGGGGGGTATCATGGGCGAAACGATGTACTCTGTTATGTGCATGGTACTGCTCATGTGTATAGGCGACGGTTACCACTTTCAATCAGGTGGGCCGTCAGCTTATTTGCCATTCTGTTGTATAAAAAAAATTATAAAATGACTGTTTAACGAGAGTGAAATGGTAACTCCGCCTGCGCTGTCAGTATATGCTGGTGGGGTATCAGGAACACATGATAGGTGAGGATGAAAACAGGTTAACTGGCCCCTGAAGAATTAATAATGATTAACCACGGTGGTTTCCAGGGAAAACCGCGTGGAGGTCGACCTAATAGGGTATATTGCTAGCAACGGCACTGTTAGATCCTGTTACTAATGAGCCCTTTCTCTCAATTCTGAACCAATTCGGAAAATTATTTTTTTTTTCGGACAAGATATACTCTCATAGTGTTCATATTATAATTTTATCAAATTCGATGCAGTGGTTTAGTTTAGAAAGCAAAATATTTGGTGTCAAGAAGTTGCCGTTTTTTGAAAAATAAAACCGTATTTTTTTTTTTTTATAATAATATGTATTCGAAGGCGAACCTGTCATCATCATTGCTTACGATGTCATCATCGATGCTTTCTCTTATTAAATATTTACATTAATTAATACACAAATTTTGTCTCGTTTACCAGATTCGAAGTCAGAATTTATGTGGTCACTAAGAGGTAATACAGCAGTAGGTTACAAATAATGTAAAGTTGACTTTCAAGCTGTATACTTATGGTTGAAAATGGTTCAGCGATGTTCTAAACCTAATTCATGTAAGTACAAAAATAATTTATTTAAACCGTATCTGCTTAGATAAATTATTTCTTACATTATAAACAATTATTTTAAAATATTTTGATCAATTAACATAATTGTTTCATAATTATATTAATTTTTAATATTAAATTGAAGAATATTTTCTCATTAGGTAAAACGAAACGTATAAACATCCTGACCTTGACTTTTGACACTTATAAAAAATGTTGCCAAATAGAAAAGTTTACCCAGTAAAAAGGTATTCGGAAGGAATTTTTATTAATATTTCTTTGCAAAGTATACACTCAAAGAAAAAACTAAAGAATATTTTTTTTTATTATAAAATATAACAAACATCAAAGCATTTTGTTTACACATTAACGTCATAAATTCGATTGAAATGAAATACTATTTATTTTAAAAAAGATATTAATTAATTTACAGACATTTTAAGTAATATTATATAATTTGTAAGGAAGTTTCTCTAATAATTCAAAACTTTTTCGATCTGTATTTGCTGTAAGTTGCAGATGGCCTTAATGGCTTCACCGAACACGTGCAGCGGCAAGTGCGGATGGCACTTCAAGTCCGTGGGAGGAAACAACGAAGTATTTATTCTTTCCGATGGATCGTGAGGGCGCCAGAATGATCCGGATCTCGGTTTAGAATCAGTGATTTAATTTTTTTTTATTTATTCTAGGTATACACAACAGGTTACAATCAATAACATTATAGACTTTATATAAAGATAATAGATTGAACTAGATTGAGACCCAAACACGTGTACACACAGCATGGTTAAAGCAGTCGGCATACAATGTTAAATTATAAAGTTATATAAAGAAAGCATATGAATTTGGTAAATAACAATGAAGTACATGCAAATAATAAAAATACATATAGATATGGACATGTCAAAGAGACTTGGTGGCTGATTGTAAAATGCTTTTGAAGGTGTTTAGACGTGAGTTGAAGATATCAATTTGAGGACATTTAGCTGAAAATTATGACAAATAGTTGTCAGTTATGAATTACAATCTGTGAGAACATAGAAAACATAAAAAAAAATCAATATAATGTATAATAAGGAAATAGAATTTATAAAAATGGCAATACGTTATGACAGCCGACGGCCATCGAAGCGCAATCAGTCAGTCACGCGAAAAAAAAAATCTGAATTTTTGTTTAATAATTTGTTGTTTTAAACCGTAAATAAAGTGATAACTATGTTATTAACCATGGCACAAGTTTAAATTAGTGTTTATATGATATGTTGTGGCAAAATGAGTGTATTTGCATAAGAAACATGATGATTTCTTTTGTCATACGTTTGGTGTGTTGATAAAAAAAGATCATTTTTTGTGACGACAGCCCATTAAGGTAGGTACGTACTTTTTTCTTCACTGTATCGATTAATCCACGGACGGGTTTCCGTTGTAAGAACCGTTTATGGCTGTATGTACTGGTTTGTTTTGTTTAATTTTTTTTTTATCTATTTACAATTTCTTTTTTTTTTTTAACGACACGTAGCGAGGCATAATTAATATTTTCCTTGAACGTAAACTTACGAACAATATTTGTACTAAAAAAAATGTATCGTTTAAGATGTTTCAAGCGGTCATTATTCACTGAAAGAAGTCTCCAAGTGTTTGATTGTTTAAAAATTAACTTAAACAGTTCAGCAAACCCATTTAAACTCTTGTATTTTTTACAAAAAATTCAGTGATGTTTAATAGTTACAAAGTAAAAGGTTACTTGTTTACAAATTTTATACACTACATTGTAATTGACAATTGATTAACTTGTAATAATAATAGTTTAAGCAGATATTGTTACACTTACAAAGAAGGTTCATACAGAGTAACATAACAAGTATAGAAGCTGAAGGTTTGTTTTTTTATCGATGATAATGAAATGGTAACCCCGCCTGCAAGGGGGGGATTGTTAGCAATGAAGTTTGACAGCCCCATTGCTAGCAATATCAGGTCAACCTCCACATGGTTCCCCTGGAAACCATAGTGAACAATTCTCGATTTACATTATTTTCACCGGTACCTTTCCTGCACTGGATTACCCAAATTAAATTATTTTCTCTCCAACTACACTGGGTTGGCTGGAAGAGATCTCTTTCAGAGATAAGTCCTCCCTTGCTAACAAGTTGTTAAACTAATCGCTACATGTATTGGTCAAGTGCAATAAAGAATATATAAATAAATAAATCTTTCTATAATTTGATGGATTATAATGTTATTTAAGAATCTGTTAATGTTTAAATAACATTACCAGAATAAAAAAATGTTTAAAATTATATTTACAATATAATAATATCCTCCTATAGAAAATTTACCAAATTTATCAATCATGGTATCAAATTTGAATGTTTTCATCCAAATTGATGAGAAAAACAAATACTCTGCAAGAAACTGGTAATATTTTTTTTTTTGTAAATGTTTATTTTGCCCCTAAGGGTATTAATTTTTACATTTTCTTTTTTCACAGACAACAAAAATGAATAGTACTAACATGAACTTAGATCCTGTCAAGATGAGTAACATGAACGTAGACATCGATCCGTTGAGCACATACGAATATCCAACGTACGTCAACTACAACAATATACAGGGCAACCCGCCATATTCTTACGATGTCAAGCTCGAAAACCCTATTAACGAATTCTTCCAATCGTTCATGAATGTAACAAACAACGATAACGAAATGAAGTTACCAGAGATGAACCAAGAAAATGTAAATAACGATAAACCAGTGAAAAAGGATGCCACTAATGAGGATGTCAAACCTAATATAGATGTAAAAAATATTAAAAAGGAGAAAAACGGAAAGAAAAGCAATTATTGGTCTGAAAAAATTACAGACAACACATTTGCGTTCTACGGATGCGCTGTGTGCAACGTGAGTTACTCAGCATTGCAGGAACTAGACCAGCATGTTACAATACACAAAGACAGAATAACGAGTTACGATTTGAAAATAAAAAATCAAATAAAACGGAAAAAAATGAAAAAGGAACAGAAAAGATTGAAAAAGTTGGGTAAAATCAAAACCGAAGATTTAATGGTTGACATAAAACCGGAGGATGGTTATATTGGTAACGAAAAAGCGTCGGAATTCAACTTTAACGAGAACAACGGAAACACAATAAATAATGAAAATGTAAATGGAATTAACGATAATAAAAATATTGTAAATAACGAAAATACGAATACAGGTAATTCAGAGAATCCAGTGAATAATAATGCACAGGAAACGAAATATACAGTTAACGGAAACAATAGTAATAGTAACGAAAATAATTCAGCTAGCAACGGAAATGAAAATGGATCAAATGTTAAAGTGTTTAAACCACCTGATATCAATTTGGAAAAGATATACAAATGTTTTGCATGTCAGAAGCAGTTCACTTTGAGTTATTATTTGAAATTACATGTGAGATCCCATACAGGTGAGATATTGTTTAATGGTAAAAAACACTATTAAATTGTTGTATTAGCCATTAACTGTCCATTGCTGAAAATAGCCTTTTTTTTTAAGCAACTCAGAATGGCAAACAAGCTGAATGAAAAGATGGCCTGATGGAAAGTGGTGACCAACGCCTATAGACATGATCAGTACTGTGGACAGAGTATACTATTTCGCCCATGATACCCCCCATGCGTTGCTATTCCTGAGGACTCAGGTGTTATTCTTCTGTACCCTGTAAATTCACTGCCATATCCCACCGTTCAAACCGAAACACAGCCATACAAACACAACTGCTTCACGATAAAAACACGAATGGGACAGAGGTGGCCAAGCAAATGTCTTGTGTACAAAGTCTCCCTGTGGTAAAAACCTCTCCCATAAGAGGGATTTGCCTGTAGTTACTATAGTTAGTTTCTTTCATGCTGCCATGGATGTTCTTACTTACTTAGATGGCAGGTAGCCTTCTTATGGACATTTTTTTAATGAATGACAATGAAATAGTACCCCCATCTGTGCTGACGGGGCACCAGTGAGGGATGATAGGTGAGGAAGAGAGCGGGTCAGTTGGCCCATAGTGATGAATTCATAAAAACACAATCAAGATGGTTTCCAGGGGGAACGGCTTGGAGGTAAACCTGATGAGGTATATTGTTAGCAATGAGGCCTCTAGTCCCATTATTTATAATATAGTTCAGCAATGGGCGCCTATATTTTTTTACTGTTTAAACTTGCCTCTAACAGTATTGATTTGCAGATAGTTAAGTATTTTTACATTTCTAACAAACCGTATATGGATTTGGTGATGTTTTAAGCAAAAATATTATTTTTTTAAAAAGTTTAATTTGCATTTCAGACGAGAAACCGTACACTTGCAGTATATGTGGCCAGTCGTTCATAACGGCGAGCAAACTCGGGCGGCACAACAAGAGAATACACCTCGCCATCAGATATCAGTGTCGGATATGTTACAGGTTCTTCTCTAGGTGAGGGTTTTTTTTAATTATTAATTTTCGAATACCTAATAGGTACTTATACTCAATAGATCTCATGCATTAATACAGAACTTAAATGTGACTATCATCAGAACTCAAATGTGACTGTGATCAGAACTCGAACACGACCATGATTAGAACTCGAACACGACCATGATCAAAACTCGAACACAACCATGATTAGAACTCGAACGCGACCATGATCAAAACTCGAACACAACCATGATTAGAACTCGAACGCGACCATGATCAAAACTCGAACACAACCAAGATTAGAACTCGAACGCGACCATGATCAAAACTCGAACACAACCATGATTAGAACTCGAACGCGACCATGATCAAAACTCGAACACAACCATGATTAGAACTCGAACACGACCATGATCAAAACTCGAACACAACCATGAATAGAACTCGAACGCGACCATGATCAAAACTCGAACACAACCATGATTAGAACTCGAACACGACCATGATCAGAACTCGAACGCGACCATGATCAAAACTCGAACACAACCATGATTAGAACTCGAACACGACCATGATCAGAACTCGAACACGATTGGCCAAGTGGCAAGCGGATTCGTCGATGGAACCGACATCGCTAGCGAGTCCATGAGATAGAATGAGAGCAACGCCGGATGTCTCATTTCAACTCACGGACTCGCTAGCGATACCGATTTCATCAATGAATCCGCTTGCCACTTGTCCAGAGGGTATGAACGGAATTCGATAAATATTGGCAAGAGCGCCACTCCTTCCGTTAGACCACATTCAAAGTCGGGCGGCTCGAATTATTGATAGTCAACGCCTTATTGTCCGACTTGATCCACTGAAACTGCGCAGAGATGTTGCATCTCTGTGCATCTTCTACCGAATTTATCATGGGGCGTGCTCTGAGGAATTGTTCGGATTGATACCTGCTGCTGATTTTCACCACCGTACAACCCGCCATAAACCAAAGTTTCATCCTAACCATCTGGACGAGTGGCGGTCCTCCACCGTGCGTTTTTCAAGGCACTTTCTGCCACGCACAACCACTCTTTGGAATCAACTTCCAGCAGCAGTATTTCCGAACCGATACGACATCGTAACCTTCAAGAAAAGAGCATATTCCTTTTTAAAAGGCCGGCAGCACACTTGCAATGCCGTTGGTGTTGTGGGTGATCATGGGCGGCGGTAGTCACTTACCGTCAGGTGAGCCGCATGCTCGTTTGCCCCCTGTGTTGTAAAAAAACAAATTTGCATATTTTCAGATTTGAATACTTGACGAGACATTTCGACAAAAAGCATCCCGAGGACAAATTGGAGGGGGAACCGTATGGTATGTAGTAATTGAGTTCAAATTACAATGACAGCTTTTAGGGGGGGAAAGGGATTGTTAGTAACGGAGACTGAGAATCCCATTGCTAGCAATATACCCAACCAGGTCGATCTCCTCGCGGTTCCCCCTGGAAACTATCATGGTTAATTCCTGATGAATTCATCATGATGTGCTAACTGGCCTGTTTTCATTCTCATCGATCACCCTTCACTGGTGCTCCGCCGGCGTATCCTGTTAGCGCAGGCGTGGTTACCATACCATTTTCACCCATAAAAAAAATTACAGCTTTTATATTACACTAGTGAACCGCTCCGGCGTCACGCGGTTTTTTCTTAATACAATACTCGCTAAAAATGTAGCTTTGTATAGGTGAAAGGATTTTTAAAATCGGTTGGTAGACTTCAAAAAGAAGCGAGGTCCTCGATTCTGTTTTTTTTTTGTATGTCTGTCACCTCATAACTCCGTCGGTTGTAAACCGATTTCGAAAATTCTTTTTTTATCTGAAAGGTTATACTTACAGTTTGGTCTTGTAGAAATTTTATCGAAAACGCTTCAGTAGTTTAGTTTTTAAACCAAAATAACTGGTTTAGTTACAACTGAACTTGGTTTATTTTGTGGGACACAATATTTAATTATAAATGTTACAGAGTATTTAAAACTAACTATAAACTTAACTATACCAACAATATATTTTTTTCTATGCAACTTAGAATGGCAAACAAGCTGACGGTCCACCTGATGGAAAGTGGTAACCGTCGTCTATAGACATGAGCAGTACCATGGGCATAACAGAGTATACTGTTTCGCCCATGATACCCCCCACGCGTTGCCATTCCTGAGGACTCAGGTGTTATTCCTCTGTACCGTGTAAACTCACTACCATATCCCACCCTTCAAACCGAAACACAGCCATGCAAACACAACTGCTTCACGGTAGAAACACGAATGGGACAGAGGTGGCCAAGCAAACGAGTTTTGTACAGACTCCCTTTGGTAAAAAAACTTATTAAACTTTATTCTTATTATAAAATTATCATATACTGAAAAATAAATAAATATTTATTTTTAAACCGCCATCGGTACCTCTGTACATCCTAAAGGTTTTTTTTTTGATGGGTAGAAACGGTATGGTAACCCCGCCTGCGCTAACGGGATACGCTGGCGTAGCACCAGTGAAGGGTGATAGATGAGAATGAAAACAGGCCAGTTAGCCCATCATGATGCATTCATCAGGAATTAACCATGATAGTTTCCAGATAGAACCGCGTGGAGGTCGACCTGGTTGGGTATATTGCTAGCAATGGGATTCTCAGTCTCCATTACTAACAATCCCTTTCCCGCACATCCTAAAGGTTGACTGGTACAGAATGCCTACAGCATTAAGTCCGCTCTTTGTACTACATTCTATTGGTCCATATTGTTTAAATAAATATATTTTCAGATTACAACGCGATTCTTCCATACCTGAAAGAGCTAGAAGAGCAGTTACGTGAGAAAACAGAAGAAAGCAAGCCGAAGACAGAAGATCTGTGGGAGGACTGGCCCCCGCCGCCGGAGCAATGTAAATAGATAGATAGATAGCCTTTATTGTTCCCTCCATAAGATTACAATAGTAAACTTATTATAGATACAAACAATTACAAGGAAATATTGCACCGAGAGAACAATGGAGACTTTGTACAAAAGTCGTCTGCTTGGCCACCTCTGTCCCATTCGTGTTTCAACAGTGAAGCAGTTGTGTTTGCATGGCTGTGTTTCGGTTTGAAGGGTGGGATATGGTAGTGAATTTACTGGGTACAGAGGAATAACACCTGAGTCCTCAGGCAATGGCAACGTATGAGGGGTATCATGGGTGAAACAGTATACTTTGTTATGTCCACAGTACTGCTCATGTCTATAGGCGACGGTTACCACTTTCCATCAGGTGGGCCGTCAGCTTGTTTGCCATTCTAAGTTGTATAAAAAAAAACAATGGGCGGCCTTATCGCTGAGAGCGATCTCTTGCAGGCGACCTTTGGATGGAGAAGAGCAGTTATAAATATCACTTTGGGATCAAATTCTTTTTCTGCAGTTAAGTTTTTAAATAACTGGTCTTATCACAATTGAAGTTAGTTCTTTTAGGAGAACACAGTCTTTAATTATTAATCATAACCTTCAAGAAAACAGCATATTCCTTTTTAAAAGGCCTTCATGGGGAGTGCTCTGAGGAATTGTTCGGTATGATACCTGCTGCTGATTTTCACCACCGTACAACCCGCCATAAACCAAAGTTTCATCCTAACCATCTGGACGAGTGGCGGTCCTCCACCGTGCGCTTTTCAAGGCACTTTCTTCCACGCACAACCACTCTTTGGAATCAACTTCCAGCAGCAATATTTCTTAACCGATACGACATCGTAACCTTCAAGAAAAGAGCATATTCCTTTTTAAAAGGCCGGCAGCACACCTGCAATGCCGTTAGTGTTGTGGGTGATCATGGGCGGCGGTAGTCACTTACCGTCAGGTGAGCCGCATGCTCGTTTACCCCCCTCCTCCCCACCCCCACTGTGTTGTAAAACAAATATTTTGCATCACAGTTCACAATGAAGACAACAAAGAATTCGAAAGCGAAGCACCAACGGACATCATTGTGGAGCCGGTGAAGATGAACATCGAGGAGGTGAAGGTGGACTGCGATGTGCAGGTGAAGAAGGAGTGTGAGGAAGAGACCACACATGCAGAGCCCGAGGAAGTCAAGGAGGAAGACTTCAAAGATGAGAAGTAAGATATGTAATGTTCTTATGGCTGATAATGGAATGATAACCTGTGCTAACGGTTTACGCTGGCGAGGCCCTAGTGTGGAATGATAGGTGAGGCAGGTCAGTTAGCCCATCGTGATGAATGCACCTGGAATTCAGTACGATGATTTCCAGGGGGGGGAGGAGGTTGACCTGACATGGTATATTCCTAGTAATGGAACTGATAATCCGCATTATTAACAATTTTGTCAAGAGAGGGGCTGGCTGTAAACCAGCGCTGTGCAGCTGTTCACATTGCAGTGGGACTCGCTCAGCATCAGCTGAGCCGGTTCCTTTTACCTAATATGAGACACTAAACTGCTGTCAAGAGAGGGACTGGCTGAAAACAAGCGCTGTGCAGCTGTTCACATTGCACTGGGACCAGTACAGCATCAGCTAAGCCAGTTCCTACTATGACATTCAAATACAAATGATTGTTTATGAATAAATAAAATAAAATGTAATATTACTGTATTTTCTGTTGTAACTATGTGTTTTTCTGACAATAAATACTCTGTTATTCGACGAATGTTACAACCCATTTATAATGTTACATTACATTTAATTTCTAGCGCATCCGACGACGACTACTTCCCGTCAAACACATGGGCGTCCACACCCAAGATAGAGAGCGATCCGCCGTCCCCCTCGCAGCCGCGACGCAAGTCCGAGGGGCCGCTTCAGTGCAAGATATGTCAGAAGAGCATCAGCACAGCGTCCTATATGCGAATACATATGAGAACTCACACCGGGGAGAAGCCGTTTAAATGTTACATATGTAACAGAGGGTTTATAACGTCCAGTAAGATGCACAGGCACGTGTTGACGCATTCGGAGTCATGGGAAGGTCAGTGTTACATTACATTTATCATATATATTTTTTTTATGCAACTTAGAATGGCGAACAAGCTGACGGCCCACCTGATGGAAAGTGGTAACCGTCGCCTATAGACATGAGCAGTACCATGCACATAACAGAGTATACTGTTTTGCCCATGATACCCCTTGCCATTCCTGAGGACTCAGGTGTTATTCCTCTGTACCGTGTAAATTCACGCCATATCCTACCGTTCAAACTGAAACACAGCCATGCAAACAACTGGTTCACGGTAGAAACACGAATGTGACAGAGGTGGCCAAGCAAAGGTATTTTGTACAAAGTCATATAATGGTTGAGCTTTAAAATTGGATTTTTTTTTAAGGAGAAGACAGTGCTGATGTTAAAATGGAGAATGTCAAGTCTGAGGAAGAAGGTGACGACGAGGGGAAGAAGAAAGCGGATAAGAAGTAAGAATTGTGAAATTATTGAAGTTAATTTCCCTAGAGACTAGAGTATGGGGTTTTTCAAAAATGGTTTATTAAGGTTTTGTTTTAATGGATGGTAATGGTATGGTAACCCCGCCTGCGCTAACGGGATACACTGGCGGGGCACCAGTGAAGGGTGATACGTGAGAATGAAAACAGGCCAGTTAGCACATCATGATGAATTCATCAGGAATTAACCACGATAGTTTCCAGGGGGAACCGCGAGGTCGACCTGGTTGGGTATATTGCTAGCAGTGGGATTCTCAGTCTCCATTACTAACAATCCCTTTCCCCCCTAAGACAGGTCAGTTAGTCCATCGTGATGAATATATCTGGATTTCAGCACGATGGTTTCCAGGGGAACTACGGGGAGGTCGACCTGATAGGGTATATTGCTAGCAATGGGACTGATAGTCCGCATTGCTAACAATTCTTTTCCCCCTGGTATATTGAAGTTTCTTCAGGGTCGGCAACGCCCCCTTCTAGTGTTGCAGGCGTCCATAGGCTACTAGAATGTTTCATCAGACGGGCTGTATGCTTCTTTGCCATCTTCATGGTATAAAAAAATCAACAGCTGTGTTCACATAGCTGTTTCGGATTGATGGGTGGGATGTGATAGTGGGATTATAGGGTAGGGAGGAGTTACACCTCTAGTCCTCAGGAATGGCAGTGCGTTACGTGTACCATGGGCGTCACAGTGTATCCTGTGACGTCCACGGTATCATCTGTATCTACTGACTTCCTGCAATGCATGAGGTCGTCACTTCATCTTTTTAGAGGTTGTTATACACTGCGTTTGCCCGTACGAGGTTGCCACTCAAGATTGGTTTTTTTCTATCAGTTCTTCGAGCTATGTGACCATTATTTATTTACATCGCAGAGCGCAAATCAAGAAAGCTAAGGCCAAGTTTGCGAAAAAGATGAAGCGGTCGGAGTCCAGTCGAAGGTCGCAGCGGCGGCCGCACGCCTGCTGCTACTGCCACAAACGGTTCCTGCACCTGGAGACCTTGCAGGTGAGCGGTAGCGGCTTAGAAAGTGTTGCCGGCAGGGGGCGCCACTCACGCGAGCAGTATTGTGATCTACTCGTGTTATCTACCTTCTAAGACACCATTGTGATTCATCATAATTATATCAGCCTTTATCTGTCCACTGCTGGACATAAGCCTTCTCCTTGGGTTTTGCCAGTAGTTGCCACGCTTGGCAGGCTGATTGGCAACCGCAGTTAGGCTTCAGAGATGTTTTAAGAGGACGCTGCTGTCCATCCCTCATCTCAGTCGCCTCTTACGACACCCACGGGAGAGGAAGGGGTGGCCTATTCTATGCTGGGACCACACGGCATTGTAGTAAATTCTTGTTAAACTGAGTCAATTAATTTGACTACATCCTCACCTATCATGCTTCCCTGGTACCCCGCCGGTGTATACCGATAGCGCAGTTATGGGAAAGGGACTGTAAATTATGGTGTTTAACAACCCCATTGCTAGTTTTTGCTATTGCTATGGATTCTAACATTTGCTATTTGCTAGCAATAAACCTTGTCGGGTCGACCTCCACGCGGTTCCCCCTGAGAACCAGTTTGATTAGTTCTCGTCAAATTTCACGATGTGCCAACTGACCTGCTTTCTTCCTCACCTATCATGCCTCCCTAGTAGCTATGGGTGATATCATCGCCGTTCTGAAATCTATATATTTGGGTTACTCCAGATTTTTTTTTTATTGGTGAAAATGGTATGGTAACCCCGCCTGCGCTAACGGGATACGCTGGCGGACCACCAGTGAAGGGTGATAGATGAGAATTAAAACAGGCCAGTTAGCACATCATGATGAATTCATCAGGAATTAACCATGATAGTTTCCAGGGAGAACCGCGAGGAGGTCGACCTGGTTGGGTATATTGCTAGCAATGGGATTCTCAGTCTCCATTACTAACAATCCCTTTCCCCCCTACTCTAGATATTAGGAGCAGATAGGTGTATACCTAATCTATCGAATCTATCAATATCGGAATGGGTGTATATCCATTCCGATATCGATAGATTCCTTCACATCAATATTACATTATTCACATTCCTCTTCCTCTCGGACCGCCGCAAGGTGTTGACGTCTTTATTGTGTACTTTTCTTTGTTTAATAATATTATTTGCATTTTAATTACAAAAAATATATTGAATACGCATTAGGAGTGCATAAGCAGTAAAGAAGCATCTATAAAGCGGCGCAATTTACCTACTTCTTCAAAACTTCTTACAGCCTGGTAATCGGCAATATAAGGTACGGTGAATAGTTACCTATCTATTTTTAGAAATCAACGCAAGGTTTACTATTACTATAATAGTTAATGAAGTGCCCCGTCTGCTGCAAGTGATTGGTCGCGGAAGCTCCGCCTATAATTTTACCTGTTACATTCATATAAACCGAAGAATTGTATTGTGTGCGACAGCTCATTATAGCTATTTTAAGATTGCATTGTAAAGCGCCTGAGTTTTAATCTACGTGAATCGATCTATTGTGTTTAGCTACACAATACATTTTGATATTATTTTATTACTGTCAAATATCTCGGTAATAGGAATGGAGAATATGAGCAATAAATCATTATCGGAAACAAATCTTTCGGAAAAACAGGATCAAAGTACTCCACCAAATTTTATGATTAAGCGAAGTAAACGAGGCAGAGAACATGAATGTGAGGCTGAATTCAGCGCCTTTAAGGATGAAATTAAAGTTTTACTGGCATCTAATATGGCGACTCAGCAAGAGGAGAACAAAAAAATTTACTCTGCCGTGATGGAAATCAAACAATCTAATAATAATATTGAGAATACCGTGGCCTTTCTTGCTACGCAAAATGACGAACTAAAAAAGAAAATAGAACAACTAGAACAACAGGCTAAAAAAGACAAAGACTATATAACTATTTTGGAAGAAAAAATAGAAGATGTGGAGCGCGGAAGTAGAAAGGCTAATATAGAGATAAAAAATGTACCAAAAAATAGTAATGAAAATAAGGAAGATTTAATAAGCATGACTGTGAAATTATCTAAGGCTATAGATTGTAATATCGACAGGCGAGATATTAAAGATATATATAGAGTGCATAACAAAAGGAGTGACACAAAAAATAGTTCTGTCATACTTGAGATGTCATCCACAATTTTAAAAGCCGAGTTCATCAAGACGAGTAAATCATATAATATCAGGCACAAGGAAAAGTTATGTGCAAAACATCTTGGATTTAAGATTGACGAGTATACTCCGATTTTTGTCTCAGAGCAGCTAACCATTAAGGCAGCTCGCTTATTTTACCTTGCAAGAGAAGTAGCCAAGACTAATGGATATAAATTTTGTTGGACAGCCTATGGAAGGGTGTACATCAGAAAAGATGAGAACTCCCCCATTATTGTCATAAAAAATGAAACACAAATAAATTCCCTAATGCAACTCAAATGACTAGACGTAGTTCCAGCCATAAATGAGTTTTTGTTATATTTTGGCCGTGTGATGATTTATTATAATATTATTTTATATGTAAAAAATATTAATAGAATATGTAATGTAAAAGAGTGGATCGTTTATACAAACAAATATATGCTCTCATTTACACTACAAACAACACTAATTTCTTTCTATTATTTTATACAAATTCAAGATATATATTTATACAGTACCTACTCATTACAAATACTAACACATTCATACACATATGTTCATTTACACACACACATACACGCTTGTTTACACAGATATATGCACACACATAAAAATACTCTCAAGTGTATTGTCCTGACATTTTATAAATTTCATTATGGATAGTACACTAAAAGTAATAAACGAAATAGACAATTCTGATACAATACAAGTAGTTGAATGTACTTCAGAGAATTTTTTAAAACAAATGCGAGTTAAAAATACTGATTTTATGATAATATCACAGAGTATTAAAACTTTAGAAAAATTAATTAACAACCGGTTAACAAATTATATAACTAAATACAATATATTATCATCGCAGCAATTCGGTTTTAGACAGGGGCTTTCTACTGAAGACGCAGTTTCGACGCTTGTTGCTAAAATTACAGAGGAGGTTGATAAGGGAAATAAGTGTTTAACTGTTTTCCTTGATATCAAAAAAGCCTTTGACACTGTTTCCGTTTACAAACTTCTGTACAGACTTGAGGGTATAGGTGTAAGAGGAATACCTCTTAAACTTTTTAAAGACTACCTATGTGAACGGAAACAAAGGGTTAAGATAGGCGAATTTATCAGTACAGAAGAAACAGTTACGTACGGGATCCCGCAAGGAAGCGTCCTCGGCCCTACACTGTTTCTTATATATATTAATACTTTATGTAACATGGCATTAGAAGAGGGATTAGTTATTTCATTTGCTGATGACACAGCTGTTATTTTCACAGGAGAGACTTGGGAACAAGTAAAGTTACATACTGAGAGCGGACTGGCTAAAATAGCGGATTGGCTGCAATATAATCTACTGACTTTAAATGCCATTAAATCTAACTACATCTGTTTTACTAACTATGATCGTACACAACCACAAAATAGATTTAATATAAAGATCCACAAATGCCGAAACTTTCAAAATTTAAATTGTTCTTGCGCTACAATTAATAAGGTACATAACACCAAATACCTGGGAGTAATTATCGATCAGCGTTTATCTTGGCACCAACACTCTGAAATAATTATGAATAGAATTCGAAAGCTTATTTGGGTATTTAAAATGCTACGTCATATTACTACAAAAACCTTATTGCAGCGAATTTATGTCTCCTTGGCTCAATCTATCCTTGTTTACTGCTTAGCAATTTGGGGAGGGGCAACAAAAATAAAATTTCTAGAACTAGAAAGGGCACAGAGATCGCTGTTAAAGGTGATGTACTTTAAACCATTTCGGTTCCCTACTGAAAGCCTTTACTTAATAACCGATCTTCTGACAGTAAGAAAATTATATGTACTTCAACTTACATTAAAAAAACATAAATCGCTAACATATAATCCTGAAAAGAATAAAAATAGAAGAAAACACAAAGTAGCTGATACAATCACAGTTAAAACTACATATGCAAAAAGACAATACACCAGTCAATCATCAAAAATATATAACAATTTAAATAAAGAACTCGATATATATTCACTCAATTATCATAAATGTAAAAAGACTCTATTTACTTGGCTTAAAGCCAAAAGTTACGATGAAATAGAAAATATAGTCTGGAATTAAAAAATAACCATATAAATAATAAATAAAAAGTACAAAAGTAAAAAAAAAAAATAATAAAGAACACAAACTATATTATTATATATATCTATACCATACACACAAATTCACACATACACACACACACACGCACGCACACACACGCTCGCACACACACATACACACAAGAACAAGCACATATACGACCGCATTTATTATCATAAATAGACATTTTTTCTTTTTTTATGATATGTAATTTTTTTAGTATTATTGTATAAAAGTAAAACAAAGTAAAATTTTTAATGCTGATTAAGAAAAAAAGAAAAGTAAATTGTAATGATCATGAAATTTAATTATTGTTGTGAAGGAGCGGTTTCTCCTAACACAAGCAATTTTTGCTTAACAGGAGATACCAAACCCTGTAATGTAACTAACTACCTTTGTATAAAGAAATAAATTTATTATTATTATTATTAATATTATATATTCGATAAGCAATATATATATATATATATATATATATATATATATATATATATATATATATATATATATATATATATTTAGTTACAATATATATATATAAACTAAATGTTTAAATATTTTTTATGCAACTTAGAATGGCAAACAAGCTGACGGCCCACCTGATTGAAAGTGGTAACCGTCGCCTATAGACATGAGCAGTAACGTGGACATAACAGAGTATACTGTTTCGTCCATGATACCCCCCATGCGTTGCTATTCCTGAGGACTCAGGTGTTATTCCTCTGTACCCTGTAAATTCACTGTCATATCCCACCCTTCAAACCGAAACACAGCCATGCAAACACAACTGGTTCACGGTAGAAACACGAATGGGACAGAGGTGGCCGAGCAAACGACTTTTGTACAAAGTCTCCGTCTGGTATAGATATTGGTATATAGTACGCATCCCTATACCCTGGTACCCTCCCCCCCCCCCTTAGCGTATACCGATAGCATGGGTTTGATTACTATTCTAATATCATAAAAAATGCATGTTTTTCTTTTCAGGTCCACAAGAAGAGTCACGAAGGTGAGAGCCTGGTGCTAAGGTGCAACTTCTGCCTGGAGGAAGCGGCCGATGACGACTCGCTGCGGACCCACGAGGCCTCCCATACGGGACCAAAGCCCTACCTCTGCACCATATGTGGGAAATCCTACAAACGGAGGGAGACCATGGTACGTCTTAAGTCTTAGGAGAGATTTTGCCTCACTCTGCGTGTTCACCCGCCTGTACAATGGACTGTGCTTAGAGGAATTGTTTAATATGATGCCCACAGCCACTTTCTACCATCGTACGGCTCGCCATCGACAGGGAGTTCACCCTCATGTCCTACAGCCTCAATGGTCGCGTACTGCGCGGTTTCAAAGATGTTTCCTTCCACAAACACTCAGGTTGTGGAATGAGCTCCCTGCCGAGGTTTTCCCAAGAGACTACAGCATGGGGTTCTTCAAAAGAGGGGTAAAGAGGTTTCTTCAGGGTCGGCAACGCGCGCGTAATACCTCTGGTATTGCAGGCGTTCATAGGCTACGGTAGCCGCTTACCATCAGGTGGGCCGTATGCTTGTTTGCCACCTCAGTGGTATAAAAAAAATGTGACTACATTATCGTAATGAACAGCTTCCAACTGACCACTGCTGCCTTTCCATGGGGGTTTTGCCAGTAGTTGCCAAGCTTGGCAGCTGCGTGAGGCTTTGAAGATGTTTTAAGAGGGACGCTGCAGGCATATGGTATTTGTAATGGGGCCTTAAAAGGAGCAAGCTAAAAAAATGGTAGGACAGTCAATTGTTATATATGACATATATATATACATATACTATATTTTTTTTGATGGGTGAAAATGGTATAGTAACCCCGCCTGCGCTAACGGGATACGCCGGCGGAGCACCAGTGAAGGGTGATAGATGAGAATGAAAACAGGCCAGTTAGCCCGTCATGATGAATTCATCAGGAATTAACCATGATAGTTTCCAGGGGGAACCGCGAGGAGGTCCACCTGGTTGGGTATATTGCTAGCAATGGGATTCTCAGTCTCCATTACTAACAATCCCTTTCTCCCCACATATACTATATTATATATGAAATTGAGAATAATATAAAGTACAAGTTTTTCTACCAGACTTTTTTTTGTAAAGTGATTAATAAAGAATAAATAAATTTCCACCCCCCACAGATATACCATAGGAAGCACCATAAACCGGAAAAAGAATATATATGCGATATATGTTCGAAAACCTTCAACGCGCCATGCAAGCTCCAACGGCACATAGTGAGCCATAGAGTCGACAAATTCGTATTGCGATATGAGTGTCCTGTCTGCGCGCATATGTTTAACACTAAATACCACATACAGATGCACTTGTCGACCCACCAGAAGGAAGGGCTGTGAGTATACGCCTTCATTTAAATTTGTATGGACTTGTATGGGTGTTGTATGAGTGTTGTATTATGTTGAATTGAACGTAGATACGCTGCAAAGGGTAGGATTATGTGTATTTGTCTTAAATTTAGTTTGTATGGGAGATGTATGGAAGCTTTTATTGGCTGTGAACTGTCGATGTCGAAATTGTGTGTATTGTAACTTTATGGCAGTTTGTATGTATTTGTATGGAAGTTGTATGAGAGTTGTATTATGTTGAATTACATATAGGTATGCTCCAGAATGCAGCACTATATGTATATTACGGTTTGTATGGGAAATGTATGAGAGCTTCTATTCCTCGTATATAGTCGTCGTCAAAATTGTGTATATTGTAACTTGATAGCATAGGTTTGTATGAATTTGTATGGAAGTTCTATTATGTTGAATTGAACATAGGTACGCTCCAGAAGGCAGGACTGTATATATTTACGTTTATTACAGTTTGTATGGGAGATGTATGAAAGCTTTTATTAGTTGCAATTGTGTGTATTGTCTAAATGAACTTGTATGATGTACAATTGGTTTGTAATTTGTATGTTTTTACGCATAAACAATCGAATTTCGAATGCCCGTCTTTGTTTGTATTTCGAATTTTAAATAATAGAACAATTTTAAATATTTCCGAACTCTTATGTATAGAATTAATTTTTAATCTATTTGAAAATAGAACGCAATTTTTTTTTTTCTTACAGAATCATAGAGGAAAACCGCAACGACATATTAGCCATGGTGCTGCAGAACGCGCGAAAAATACCCAAACACTCGGACACGCAGGCGAACATCAGCGACATGATCCCGCCGGACGAGAGAAGCCGCGTGTGCAACATATGCGGTGAGGTATTCCAACACTTCTACTATTTAGAAGAGCATCTCAAGTCTCACGGCTCGAAAATTGCAATAGAAGATATAACAAAGACGGAAGAGAAGAAGCACGTATGCACGGTGTGCAACAAAAGCTTCAAATTGCATTACTATCTTAAACTGCATAGCTTCACCCACACTAAGGAGAAGCCGTACATCTGCCAGCAATGTGGTAAGGGCTTTATAACTAAAGGTAAACTCAAACGTCATCTGGAGACGCATTCGGGACTTAAAAAGTACCAGTGTCACATATGCTACAAGTTTTTCACGAGAACCTCATACCTAAGGATACACATACGAACAATTCACGGTACGCAAGATTACAATTTTAGGTTAGAAAAAGAATTTGGCGATCAAATGGGATCGCTCCATAACATGATGGGCCACCATAGTGTTTAGTTACAATAGTTTTATACGAAATTTATTTTTTCTTTCACTCGACACAAGTGGTAAACGATCGGCGTGCCTTTGACGTATTGCGTAAAGAAAAGTTGAATAATTGTCTATGGATTGCAAGGGTAGGGATTGTACACGGTCATTCGGGTTCAAAAAAATGTTAGTAATATATAATACGACCTTTTTTACGTGCATAAACGTCCCTCGGAACGGGATGTGTCCACTGACCGGGATAAAAAGTTGCCTTCTCTGATCCGATCCATATAGTACGTGTATACCAAACTAGATGGCGCTGTTTCATATTATATAAGTACTAGCTGACTCGGCAAACGTTGTTTTACCATATACATTATTTCTAGAACTATACATGAAAATTTATCCTACTACAATTATTATATTCGATTGCCATCTTGCAACCCTATTGCGGAATATAAAAATCGCAATTAAAAAACAGGGGTTGATCGTAAAAGGGTGAAAATTTGAGGTTGTATGTATTTTTCAATGCTGAATTATAATAAACAAAATGTTAAAAAAATAAAAAAAATAAAAAATTTATGGTTGGGTCACCCTTATTATTGAGGGGTATGAAAAATAGATGTTGGCCGATTCTCAGATCTACCTGATATGCACACAAAATTTCATAAAAATCGGTAAAGCTGTTTCGAAGGAGTTTGGTAACAAACACCGCGACACGAGAATTTTATATATTAGATACATACAGATTTATTTATTTAATATGAAACAACGCCATCTAGTTCGGTATACACTTAGTATATAGGTCGGAGATCCTTCTCCGTCTACTTCTAAGGTACTTTTTCACCCGGTCAGTGAGTATATGCCTGTAACGGGAAGAAAGTCGTGGCTAAAAGCTTTTTTTTTAAACCTCCATCGAGTACGTTTGCACTTCCCAAAGGTTGACTGGTAGAGAATGCCTATAGCATTAAGTCCGCCTTTTTTATCACATTCTATTGGTCCATAATGTTTAAATAAATAAATAAAAGATATTTTTATATATTATAAACATTTAGGTGACCCGGGTAAATTAATTATCCCGGACGAAGTCGCGGGTAAAAGGTAGTATCAGTATAAATACACAGAAACGTCAAAAACCTACTGAATTCAGAAGAATACAGATTTTTTCTGGGTTGAGTTAGTAGAGCCTTTGCTGAAAATGGCGATATGAATGAAAAACAGGACTCTTGAATGTTCTGACGTCACATATGACAAGTTCTTATTTGATAAAGCGATTACCCCTTTTGCGTAGTCGAGTAACTTGGGTATGGGGTTTTTGTTTTTAATTATTTTTTTTATTTCAGTAGGTACTAATTCTGCTATTTTTAATGCAATTGATTAAAAATTTAAAAAACAGTCACGAAAGTTGACTTTAAATATAGTAATATTGGTACCGTTCCAATATCTTTATTTTTATACAACTTAGAATGGCCAACAAGCTGACGGCCCACCTGATGGAAAGTGGTAACCGTCGCCTATAGACATGAGCAGTACCATGCACATAACAGAGTATACTGTTTCGCCTATGATACCCCGCATGCGTTGCCATTCCTGAGGACTCAGGTGTTATTCCTCTGAACCCAGTAAATTTACGCCATATCCCACCCTTCAAATCGAAACACAGCCATCCATGCAAACACAACTGCTTCACGGTTGAAACACGAATGGGACAGAGGTACCCAAGCAATCGACTTTTATACAAAGTCTCCCTCTGGTCTATCAACATATATATTGGGTAGTTTTGGAAAAAAGTGATCAGCCATTCCGATATCGCCCGTATTTGTCGGATGTCTATATACTTTTGATCGGACGCTTTTTCCCGCCATCAATGTATTTACCAGAGGAAGACTTTGTACAAAAGTCTTTTGCTTGGGTACCTCTGTCATTTCGTGTTTCTACCGTGAAGCAGTTGTGTTTGCATGGCTGTGTTTCGGTTTGAAGGGTGGGATATGGCGTGAATTTACACGGTACAGAGGAATAACACCTGAGTCCTCAGGAATGGCAACGCGTGGGGAGGTATCATGGGCGAAACAGTATACTCTGTTATGTCCACGGTACTGCTCATGTCTATAGGCGACGGTTACCACTTTCCATCAGGTGGGCCGTCAGCTTGTTTGCCATTCTAAGTTGCATATATATATATTGGATCGGTATCCATTTTACCCATGCCTACATCAAAGGATGCTTGTTGACGGTTCCAGTACCGCCGGCATAGAAATAAATATATATATTTTATAAATATATGACATTAATAATTGAATATTGTAAATAAAAATGTGTATATAAATTGTAAATATATTTTTTATTAGTATATAATTCAAAAATGTTTCCTTAATTAACGAAATGGTATATTTTGTTGTAACAATGTAATGGATGGGTGTAACCGCTTGACTTCATCATTAAATGTTCCATAAAACGCCTACCACTTGTTCACAAAACCGTCAAATATAATATAATAAAATTGTAGTCACACGATGTTTTCACATAGAGATGTTGTAAGGAGAATTGATATGAGAGGTCTTAATAAGGCCAATATTTGTCAAATCTAGGGCTGCCATCACCTGAATTGCCGACACCGAAAAATCCCGGATATTCGGGCGAAATATGGGCCTTTCCCCGGACACTTCGGAGAACAATTTTTTTTGTAACAATAATAAAAAAAAAGTTATATAAAAACCAAGCTGAACTGTGGATGACTAACGTAACTAAGATTTATTTCAATTGATCGCCTTCCTATAAAAAAGTGGACAGGCCCCAGAACGCCTTTCAAAATCCGGGAAATTCCGGACGGACGGCAGCCCTAGTTAAAACAATATTATTTTTGACATTTTGTCTGTCTTTATTTTCGTTCCGGTATATACACAGAAAGTTATATTCCAAATTGGACGTCGTTATCGCAATTTTATTTGATGCCGGAACTATAATAGACAAAGCAAAATTATGAAAAATATTAATATTAATACAGGGTGTAAAGGACAGGTCAGCTGTGTGAGGTCAAAGCCACAAGCGTACGAAAACTACCTACGAAGAAGCGCCACTGACCGCGCGCTGTAGGTATCACGCGTCGTGTCGAGCGTAACATTTCAAATACATTGCGCGGCGTCGACACTAAGAAGCGTTAATTATACGGCTGCGGTGCATTACCGGCGGGAGAACAATCTGCCATCTGATTCAGTACATTCATTTGAATCAGCTGTTTTCGTTTCGGCCAACCTGTTCCTTACACCCTGTATATTTAGAATCTAATATGATTTAGTTCTCTTAGTTAAAGAAATAAAGTTTAAAATTACTTGGAAGGACTCTAAGGTGAATGAGCTAATCTTAACAGAGTTATATTAGCTTAGCTTAGCTCACTATGTGGTTTACACTCGACATGTCAAATTGTTTGCTAATTATGGCAAGTGTAAAAAAAGGTTTCCACTTTAGGTTTTTTGGTGGAACTGCCAATTAGGAATTTATCACGGGGAGTGCTCTGAGGAATTGTTCGGATTGATACCTGCTGCTGATTTTCACCACCGTACAACCCGCCATAAACTAAAATTTCATCCCAACCATCTGGACGAGTGGCGGTCCTCCACCGTGCGTTTTTCAAGGCACTTTCTTCCACGCACAACCACTCTTTGGAATCAACTTCCAGCAGCAGTATTTCCGAACCGATACGATATCGTGACCTTCAAGAAAAGAGCATATTCCCTTTTGAAAGGCCGGCAGCACACCTGCAATGCCGCTGGTGTTGTGGGTGATCATGGGCGGCGGTAGTCACTTACCGTCAGGTGAGCCGCATGCTCGTTTGCCCCGTGTTATAAAAAAAAGGTATTTTTCTTTTTTTTATATAAATACAGGGTGTATACAGTGAAGTTGTAAATTGTATGTCGATACGAAATGTGATGTTTGCTAATTTGTACTTACACCAGATGTCGCTACGTGTTCGTGCGTAGGTGGCGCCCTCTGGAATCATGTGTGTGTAAGGTCGCCACTGATGCGTTGTGACGTTAACTCCTAGTAGTCGATCGTTTGTTGTTGACAATATTGAAAGGTTTGTCTAAAGGGATACGTTATACTATTAAATATATAGGGTCATGTATTCATGAGAGTCATACTTTATTTCAGAAAACTTACCCCCTTATTCATAAAAACTGAAAACGTTTACAAATCTGTTAACCTTTAAATGCCTGAAGTTTCAAATTTGATACCGCGGTTTGCATTGTTTCATTATTAAATAAATTTAAACATTTTGACCACCATAATGGCTAAAGTATCAAAAATGATACCAAATGTTTTTTTTTCCAAAATAAATATATATATAAAAATATCGTTTTGATTTTTTTTACTACTTTTTTTATACAACTTAGAATGGCAAACAAGCTGACGGCCCACCTGATGGGAAGTGGTAACCGTCGTCTATAGACACGAGCAGTACCGTGGACATAACAGAGTGTACTGTTTCGCCCATGTTACCCCCCATGCGTTGCCATTCCTAAGGACTCAGGTGTTATTCCTCTGTACCGTGTAAATTCACGCCATATCCCACCCTTCAAACTGACACGCAACCATGCAAACAACTGCTTCACGGTAGAAACACGAATGTGACAGAGGTGGCCAAGCAATCGACTTTTGTACAAAGTCTCCCTCTGGTGACAACTACTTTTCCCCATTAGTGAACACAGTAAAGGGTACACTTATACATATTTTTAATTCGAATTAAAAAATCAGGCTTTTAAAGGTTAATTATTTAAAATTATATAGTTAAAATACTGTTCACTGTTTTGTCACTTTCTTTCAAATTTAGAATTTAGTTCAAAAGAGAAGGGTTTGACATTTTTGTGAATAAGAGGGTAGTCTTAAATTTACTTATTAAGAGTTAAATTCTGTTTTGCAAATATTTTTGTTTTTTTTTTATTTAGATATATAGATAGGTACTCTGTATTGTTCCCTCCATAAGATTACAATAGTAAACTTATTATAGATACAAACAATTACAAGGTAATATTGCACTGAGAGAACAATGCGCGGCCTTATCGCTGAGAGCGATCTCTTGCACGCCACCTTTGGATGGAGAGGAGTAGCTATAAACAGTTCGACTGGAGGCACGAACCTCTGTTATTTATACAACTATTTTTATAATGCCTCTTCTCTATATATGTCATATTAAAATTTTAATGAAATTTTACGTTATAATGTTTTTAACCGACTTCGAAAAAGGTGAAATTGTCAATTCAGTTTTTTTTTATTTTGTTTTGTTACCAAAGAACTCCGTCGTTTTTGTGTTAATTTTTGATTTTTTTTATCTGAAACGTTGTTTTCAGATTGGTACTGTGGAAATTGCATCAAAACCGGCTCAGCGGTTTAGTTTTTAAATAAATATAAACGGGTTTATGGTTGTGACTATTATTTTAAAGTATTGAGGTAATTATGAATTCAGTTTTGCCCCGGTTGGAGTCGGTCTTTTGTGGAGCAAAATCTACTTACTCAGTTATTTTCAGAGCAAAAAGTAGATATCTTTTAAACTTTAAAATGTATTATCTAAGTATACAACAATTATACGCAATGACGTCTAAGATTATTTACCAGGGGACACCTGTCCCCATAAAGAAATGCACGTATATATTTTTAGATGAATCTGCTCACAGCTGACAGCTCTAATTCAGACTTTCTTGGGTGGGCACTACACAATTGTAGGTGGGCACGGCCCAACCGTCCCCCCTCAAGTATGTTTATAAATATATGATCATATATGTTTGAGAGTAGTAAGTCCCTGCATTGTAAAGTTGATGGGTTTTGTTACGTGAGCGCGGGCGGAGTCCCGAGTCTGTTTTAGCCGATTTTTAATAAAGTTTAGTTATGTATTAGCAATAATTTTACCATTTAGTTATGGATTCTATATTACGATTCCAAGAGGTTGTTGATTTTGTAAAAAAAAAAGAAGAATATAGCAAATAAACTAATTAAGTTTTATCCGTTTGTTTCATTTGATCTCCGTAACCCAGACTAAAGGATTCGCATTTATTCGACCGAAGTAGGTTAAGTGGAACCGACTTCAAGAAAAGAGGTTCTCGCTTCGGTCGTATTTTTTATGTTTGTTATGTACTTAGGATATAAGGATAGGTATTCGTGTTTCAACCGTGAAGCAGTTGTGTTCGCATGGCTGTGTTTCGGTTTGAAGGGTGGGATATGGCAGTGAATTTACACGGTACAGAGGAATAACACCCGAGTCCTCAGGTGTTATGTTATGTCCACGGTACTGCTCATGTCTATAGGCGACGGTTACTACTTTCCATCAGGTGGGCCGTTGTAACACTCTTAAGTTGTATGAAAAAAAGGGTGGTTATTTCCTTTAGATACTCAACAAAGACGGTATAGCAGGCATAACAGTTTGCGCCGGCTGACTTCTTCAACGCTGCCATGGAAGGTTTCGACAGTGTCTTGCATTTAAACTTGTTTCCGTTTTTCTTTGGGGCCGGTTTTTTTGGTTCACTTGCATGCGAGACATGACGCGTGCGCTGTACGGAGTAAAGTTTTTTCGTAATAGACTTTTTTTATAGGTGATAATGGAATGGTAACCCCACCCGCGCTATCGGTATACACCGGCGGGGCACCAGTGAAGGATGATAGGTGAGGATGAAGCAGATCAGTTAGCCCATCGTGACGAATTCAACGAGAAAAAACCACGTGGAGGTTGACCTGCAAGCAATTGATTGATTGCTAGCAATCTGTCAAACTCCATTGCTAACAGTCCCTGCCCCCCCAGCGCAACCGGGGTTACCATTTCATTTTCGTCGATAAAAAAAAACTATTTATCAATTCGGCTATTTGACCATTTCAATAAGGTACTTACTAAAAATGTTAAAATAAAAAAAACAAATCAACAGCAAAAAAAACTACAGTGATGTTATGAAGAGTTTATATTTAGATTTCTAGGTATACCTAGCAACACTACTAAACTTTTTTTTTATGTATTAGTGCTATTTTTTTTTACATAGAAAAATTAATCATATTTTTATTCAGTGTTCTTAGATCATATCCATTCAAAGCCACGCAACTATTGTTTAATCTTTGCACATTTAAAGCAGAATAATTATGGCAGTATCGCGGAGGTCCTACGCCTAAAAGAAAACATTCAACAGACTATTACAACCACAGAATTAGAACTTACTTTCTTGTTCTTAGTCTAAAACCAATAATTAAATAAAACAACTCCTTACTTAATAAACTTTTGAATAGCATATATTTAATTAAGAAATAAAAAAATACATAGTAGAAATAACATAACCTCTTTTAAGCTAACTTACATTCTAAAAGATACCAGTTTTTTTTTTTTTTGTAGAACAAGTTACAGAACTTCTGTCTATAGCTTGACAAAATTTGTGACGAAAGGAAATTAAAAAAAAAGAAAATAAAATATTTAAAACTATTAATTTATTTCGTAATAGATACAATAAGCCAGTGTTAATAATTTATTGAAAAAAAAAAGAAGTGTAATACAATCAACTTGTCATTTTAAAAGACACTAGATTTCATTCTAGGTAATGTCAAATTGATAAGGGTCCGTCTAGAAAATTAATTATAAAAAATAAAATATAAAAAAAAAAATGCACATTTATTACACAAATATATAGTAATGGACCCAGTAACAACATGCTGTAGCTACTAAAATAGACTTAACTGGGCGCGGTTTTTTTTCATAAGAATAACAAGCGATTTCGAAGCTAAAACATGATTACATTCTTAAACAAATTGATTTTTTTAAATCTTCATAAATATAAAACGGAGATGTAGTCAGTTTAAAAATATTTAAAACTATACATCTTTGCATATAACAACAATAAAAAAAAATTTCAAATCTCCCATCATCACTGGCCAATAATAAATAGCGGCATATTTAAATAAAGAATAACAAGAAAAGTCCTCTTAAAGCGACATGCATTTAAAAAAAAATATTTAAGAATGTATACGAATTATCGAACGATAAAAAAAAAAAATAATACAAGCGCCCAATTAACGCGGGAAAATGCCCGACAAAAAATAGGAAATAAGTTAAAAATCTAGTAAACGTAGGCTAGCCGATAATTTCTTAGATTTATAGTGCTAACGTATTTTATATTTTGTTTATATTAATTATAATAATTGTTGTCTACGTTATAATATCTTATTATAAAAGTAACTTAATTAAAAAAAAAAGAAACTTTTTTTTTATTTTACTTCCGGCGTAATTAGATAAAAAAAAATAGAGATATACATGTTAAAAAAGAAACTTTTTTTTTTATTATAAAATGTTATAATGTAGACAATTTTATTTTTTAAAAGCACGAATGGCGCGAGGGCGTCGTGTAGTGGTCAGGCCCTCTAACATAAGCATCACATGCCAGTTACACTCTAGAATGCACCAAAGTCTGATTCGTTGCAGTTTAGCTGAAAAATATTGGTGTTTTTACTTGTTCAAGTATATATTAGAACTGATTCGGTTTTTAAAGAATATTTTTCATTTTTAGTAATCGATTTTTAAAATAATTAGAAGTCTCAATTTACATTTCATTTCTTCGAAGTTTATTTTTTAGTTTATATTAACCTCTTTCTATGCCTCTACTCATTAAAAAAGGAAATTATTTTTAAAAAGAATTTAATTTTAAATTAGGAACGCATCGTGATGGCGACATCTTGTTGTATAGTCAATGAAAACCATTATAACGGGAAAATAAGCATTCTATACCAAAACTTTCCAGTTAAACCGCATAAAACAGTGAGAAAATTAAAAATAACCATAAGTCATAAGTAGATGTAAATGAAAAAAAAAAAAAAACAAATCGAAACAAACTCGATTGGCAAGTCAAACAAGTGATAATTTTAATGTCAAATCACAGACTAATAAAAAGATATAGAAACAACAATACAGAATAATAATCTGGAGACATTTCTTTCAAGTGTCAGTTGGGAAATGTCATTTTTGTATATTTTAATAAATTGGGTACATAAACAGTCATACAATCACGTCAGAATAACATATCTATATTAAAATATTATCTATTAACGTCAAAATAAGACAATAAAATAAAAAAAAAGTACCACGTTTTAAACAATATAGTATTACTTAGTAACTTTTAAAACTTACCACTGGCAACACTGCGTTATTTTTTCTTTTATTTTGACAACTGACCAGTACGCCTTTAGTCGAGCATAGTTTAGTGGCTCCACAATTATTCTGCATTGAGATTCTATATATTTTTACCAATCTGAGTGTCAGAATAAATAAAACTCTTGGCCGTTTACAATTAATCAATAGCTCTTACACGCTAATACTCCAAACAGAGTCTGCTCAGGTGCTCAGAACGTACTCAGCGCGGGGGGGGGGGATACTTGAGTATTATTATACTATACTCTAAGCCAATCTCTGTACGTATATATCAGAATATGGAACAAATTAGGAGCGTGCGACCTCAAATAGCCTCGTAGGCTTGCCAAATATCCGGATTTTTTTTCCTGTCCCATATACAGTAACTATAATACCTTTTTGTCTTAAGAAATAAATATATTTATTGCCAATTAAGCATAGATTACTATTATGGATAATTTAAAAAAAAATCTAAATATAAATAAGAAATATATTTATAAAATAAAATAATTAAGCGAATATCAAAACCTGCTTTTATCGCGGGATAGGACAGTGTATTAAACCGCTACTCCACCAGGGTCATCAGAGAGACGTAGTTTTATATACTCTATGTTTATTTTTTTCTTTCTGACAACCCTAATGATGATGATAGATATGGTAAATACCTCTAGATCATAAAATTATATACTTGACCATTATTCTAGTACAAAATATGCATAGAATAATTGCACGCATGTTCGACTCATGTTTTCTAAACATAAAACTGATTTGTAGGACTTAGCAAAGTAGATTGGCCCCAAACCTGTTACACATTCTAATTTATTCCTTATTCTGAGACGCATTGAGACTGAGATCTAGCACCTAATCACCATCCACTCCGTTACCAATATTAAATTGAAAATTGGTAAATTAGCGAGCGAACTTCGGTGAGTAAACAAGCTTATCGTGTGCTTTTATATAGAATTAAATTCTCCCTAACTTTTTGTCAGAGATATCACGTACAGATGGTATGTTTCAGCCAATGCTCAGTCGGAAAAGTGATAACCGTCACTTGAAGAATACCACAGACAATACAGAATGCATTGACCACGGTATGCCAATTCGTTACCACTACCAAGCACCTTATATCTGTGATTGCACTAACATATTCCCCATGCAAGTACAGCTGAATCACGGACAGGACAAAAATGAACTTTGATCGACTTTGCATAAAGTCTATTTTTATTTGGCAGCAGAAATACGATTTAGAGGTGACGCGGCGATGATTCCTCTTTTCCAGTTTGAGTATTAACTGAAAAAAAAACTTACATTATGTACATATACGTGCTATCTAAGAGAGTTCAGTACGATCTGCCTGAGCGAAATCTGCCTGAGCGCAAACAGTAGCAACCCAATGCCAATAGGTGGGCTAAATCTTACATAGAACTGTCGAATTAAGTGGTTACAGAGAGCTATGAAATTTAATTTCATGGTTATAACGTTTTTATGTCGAATATTACATTGAGAAGTGGGCAAGAATCTTATAAAATTAAGTTTGGAAAGTGAAGAATTTAAGACGATAAATTTAACCTTAAAAATTGTCACCCCTAAGTGCAAAAGAGACAGTAGATAACTCATCGCTGTATAGCATCTCTCAGCTTCTTCAATTAAGGTGCTAGAAAGATACAAGACAACGGAAAAGGTGAGGAAAAATTCGTGGAGTTTCACTTGAAAAATATATCACTGTGCATACTCAATTTGTTTATAAGATTCTTGCAAATAGGAAATATGTGTTTAAAATATTTTTCGCAAGTGTATTATATTAATATTCAACAAATAAATGTTTTAGAAACAGTAATCGGTTATGGAAACAGTTGATTTTCGTTCTACATTTTATTAAATCGACCATCGGTTTTTCCTGGAAAAAAGAACTGAGCAAAACATGCGAATTGTTGAGTGGACTAGTCTTATAGATTATTGTACTCAGTTAAAATAGAACTTACTTAGTTAATATAATATTGTTTATTTGTACTAATTGAAACATGTTAAAACATAAAACTTAAATAAATTACATTAAAAATCTCATACCAATTATATTTTTAGCGCACGCTCAAGGTAAATAACAGATTTTTTAATTGGCATACTTAGTTCTTCATATAAACATTCCCTTAGTCACTTTTTAAGATCAAATTTTAGATAAAAAAATTTGATCGAACATTCCTTACGCTTATTTCGGTCATATTTGGCCGCAATTCAGATACACTTCATCTGAAATACAATCATTTTCGCGCGAAATATATTCCAACATTTAAATGTAGATAAGTATAGATTATTGTGGGCAGATGGCGGCTGATGATGATAATGACGAATTATTTTTGCTCGGCTTTCTTTCTCTTTATTAATTCAATCGTTGATTAACGAATGTACTTTTTACAACGTATCTGAAATTTTTACAGAGTACGCTCAACCTAACCTGAGCGTAGTATGTTTCTGTACAGGTTAAAAATTAATTTAATTTTTTTTGCTACTTTTTTTTTCTTTTTTCCAGGATAAACAAAAGTCGATTGATTCTACGTTATATACATCCCACCGCATGTAAGCTTTTCTGTATGACAGGCATTTCTGAAGACTTTCTTAATTTTAAATTACAAATATTCCAAAGCGAGATGGCAGTGTGGATTGCGGGTTTAACTGAAAGAGAGAGAACTATATGTTATTTATCTATTAATTGTTTTATGCAACTTAGAATGGTAAGCAAGTTGTATGTTTTTTTTTATACAACTTAGAATGGCAAACAAGCTGACGGCCCACCTAATGGAAAGTGGTAACCGTCGCCTATAGACATGAGCAGTACCATGGACATAACAGAGTATACTGTTTCGCCCAGGATACCCCCCATGCGTTGCCATTCCTGAAGACTCAAGTATTATTCCTCTGTACCCAGTAAATTCACGCCATATCCCACCCTTCAAACCGAAACACAGCCATGCAAATACAACTGCTTCACGGTTGAAACACGAATGGGACAGAGGTATCCAAGCAATCGACTTTTGTACAAAGTTTTCCTCTAGTGAGTATATAACTACAGTATGCTGTAGTCTCTTGGGAAATCCTCGGCAGGGAGCTCATTCCACAGCCTAAGCGTCCACGAGGGGAGGAACCTCTGAAGCAGATTGTTATACAGTTTACAGACATGAACAGCCCCACGAATGACCATGATACAGTTACCACCTTCCATCAGATAGGGCCGGGTGTACCTGGCACCCCTGGGTAATTTGTTACACCTCCCCCTTCATTGATTTGACAGTCTGGTGGGATAATCTGAAGCAATTATTACCTCTAGGCGGGTTGTGGGGTGCTGGACTTGTCCTTCTTCTTTTCTTTCTTCTTTTTGAGGAACGACGGCGTCCGCAGACCCTTCTTCTTCTTCTTATCCTTCTTAGGCGAGTCCTCGGTAGACACCTCCTTCGATGGGGAGCCCTGGAAACATAACATACTTGTGGACTGGCGTTGCTTGTAAAGATTGCTCTGGTCTGGTTGCCTTAACTCGCCTGCCAAGCGTGGCAACTATTGACGAATCTCTCTTAATGGGGAGGCTATGTCCAGCAGTAGGCAGTTAACGGCTGGTACAACATCACATCATCAGCGGTGGGAAAGGGATTGTTAGTAATGGAGACTGAGAATCCCATTGCTAGCAGTATACCCAACCAGGTCGACCTCCTCGCGGTTCCCCCTGGAAACTATCATGGTTAATTCCTGATGAATTCATCATGATGTGCTACTACTGGCCTGTTTTCATTCTCATCTATCACCCTTCACTGGTGCTCCGCCAGCGTATCCCGTTAGCGCAGGCGGGGTTACCATACCGTTTTCACACATCAAAAAAAAAACACATCATAGTCTTTACTAAAATTATAAATGTGCAAGTGTGTTTATTTGTTACTTTATAACTCCTTAACGGCTTACCCAATCAAAATTGGTATATAGTCCTATATGGGATGGGGAAGAGTATAGGCTACCTATTACTCTGGCCAGTGAACATAACCCGGTCAAGGGGGGAAAGGGATTGTTAGTAATGAGAATCTAACAACCCCATTGCTAGCAATATACCCTATCAGGTCGATCTCCACCTGGCTGCCCCTGGAAACCATCTTGGTTAATTCTTTTTGATATCACCACTAAGGGCCAACTGACTTGCCTTTACATCCTCACCTATCATGTTTCCCTGGTACCTCGCCAGCGTATACCGTTAGCGCGGACGCCGCTACCGTCCCGATCACGCGGTCAAAGTAACGGGTGAAAATTAATTTTAAATATACAATTTAGGATTGTGTTTTATAAAAACAAAAACAGACTTCAGTTTAGCAAAACCAATTATTTTTAATCAAAAATTAAATTACTGCGTCAATTAGATAAAATTTCTACGGGACCAATCTGTAAGTATACCCTATTAGACAAAAAAAAAATTCCCAAATCGGTTTACAACTGACGGAGTTATGAGGTGAAAAACTTAAAAAAAACACAACCGAACTGAGAAACTACTTCTTTTCGAAGCCGGTTAAAAAAGTCACTTACTTCTTTACTGCTATGGGAGAAGGTGCTTTGATGCGCGTCTGAGTGGTCGCCGTTCACCGTGTGCTCACCTACAATGATTAATAATATATATAAAAAAAAAACCAAATGCAATAAATAAATAATTTTACAAAAAACCTGACCAGAATAATTATGCTTTTAATCTATAAAAAAAAAAACCAAACCAAATGTTTAAATAAAAATATAAACTAAAAACTGAAAAAAGAAATTCCAAATATAAAGTCAATATCCCCAACACTCATACAAGCGACAGTGACAACCGTTCACGAGTATGACGGATGTAAAAAAAAAAACTACTTTATCAACATATATTTTTTTTATAATACTTAGAATGGCAAACAAGCTGACGGCCCACCTGATGGAAAGTGGTAACCGTCGCCTATAGACATGAGCAGTACCGTGGACATAACAGAGTATACTGTTTCGCCCATGATACCTCCCCACGCGTTGCCATTCCTGAGGACTCAGGTGTTATTCCACTGTACCCTGTAAATTCACGCCATATCCCACCCTTCAAACTCATACAATTGCCACTGACACCCGTTCACGAGTATGACGGACGTCATAAACCGGTGTATGGATTTTTATTATTCTGGTCAGACTATAATTGCGTTAAATGAGGTATTAGACACATATTATCAAAGGAACCTTAACTCCTTAAAGTGACCTTCACATTAAACTTTACCCTTCACCTTAAGCACTTATTCAAATATATTGTTATTACATTTATTACAGCGAAAACAAACCTTTATATATATATATATATATATATATATATATATATATATATATATATATATATATATATATATATATATATATATATATATATATACCCACAAACACACCATGCATTTAAGAGTCCAAACAGACAAAGCGTTTACCCATTCAATTAAAATATACAGGGTGTAAGGAACAGGTTGGCCAAAACGAAAACAGCTGATTCAGATGAATGTACTGAATCGGATGGCAGATTGTTCTCCCGCCGGAATGCGCCGCAGCCGTATAATTAACGCTTCTTAGTGTCGACGCCGCGCAATGTATTTGAAATGTTACGCTCGACACGACGCGTGATACCTACAGCGCGCGGTCAGTGGCGCTTCTTCGCAGGTAGTGTCGTACGCACGTGGCGTTGACCTCGCACAGCTGATTCCGCGCGTCGCGTTAGTATTTTAATACGTATATTACATTGCTGTCTTTTGGTATTTCATAGTACTTCACTATAAAATATTATTATTTCTTTATATTATAACATAACATCACAGATTACATGGTCGCCTGCAAGAGATCGCTCTCAGCGATAAGGCCGCGCATTGTTCTCTCAGTGCAATATTACCTTGTAATTGTTTGTATCTATAATAAGTTTACTATTGTAATCTTATGGAGGGAACAATAAAGAGTATCTATCTATCTACATGATATGATATGAAAAAAAAAACAAAAAAATATCGAATTTTTCCTAAAGAATTTCCACTAGTTTTCATTTCAGAATAATGGTCTAAATTCACTGTTTAAGTTTTTGCCAACCTGTCCCTTACTACCCTGTATTTTAGTACCATAAGGTCGATTCCGAGGCGTCCTTTCTATAAATCTACCTCCCAACATTAAAATTTGATATTACAGCAAAATCTTTATTGTAAGGACCAATATAAACCAATTTTCTAATAGGTTTAAAAATAAAAAAATATTATAAATTTACTTCATGACGGTCCATGAAACAGTAATTTTTTTTATACCATATGTCTGAGGTGACAAACAAACATACGGCCCACCTGATGGCAAGCGATTACCGTAGCCTATGAACGCCTGCAATACCAGAGGCATTACGCGCGCGTTGCCGACCCTGAAGAAACCTCTTTACCCCTTTTTGAAGAACCCAATGCTGTAGTCAAATATTTTAATTGGTTTAAGAATTAAAATATTTGATTAAAAGATTAATATCAAAAAAATGACGCCTCAAAAACGATTGTAATGTTTAAAAAAAAATGTGCATCTTACTACTACATTTCAAAAAGTCGCTTTGTAAGAGAAATAACTAAAAAAAATTAATTCCAGAAAACAAAACCGACTTCAAATTTGATTGACAAAATCAGTCATTTTGATCCAAAAACTAAACTATTGATTTTAACAAAATATCTACGAGACCAATCTTCGTATTGTGGGGGAAAGGGATTGTTAGTAATGGAGACTGAGAATCCCATTGCTAGCAATATACCCAACCAGGTCGACCGTCTCGCGGTTCCACCTGGAAACTATCATGGTTAATTCCTGATAAATTCATCATGATGAGCTAACTGGCCTGTTTTCATTCTCATCTATCACCCTTCACTGGTGCTCCGCCGGCGTATCCCGTTAGCGCAGGCGGGGTTACCATACCATTTTCACCCATCAAAAAAAAAATCTTCGTATTGGTCACAACAGAATATCAGTGTTTCGCTCTTTTGAGGGTAAAGCTATAAACTGAGTCGTGACCATTTTGCGTCACTATGGCACACGTATGAAGGAAGAAAACTGACACTTGTTTTATGTATTTTGCTTTGTATTTCTATATATGCATTCTCTTATCTCTTGTCGCTGTGGCATGTCTGTTGTTATTTGTTTGCTGTGAGTAATGCAAAATCTTCAAAAGGGGGGTAAAGAGATTTCTTCAGGGTCGGCAACACGCGCGTAATGCCTCTAATATTGCAGGCGTTCATAGGCTACGGTAACCGCTTACCATCAGGTGGGCCGTATGCTTGTTTGCCACCTTAGTGGTATAAAAAAAAACTATATATCTATCTATCTATTGTACACATAATTTTGTCAAGAATAAAATCGGTTTTCTTTTCGGAAAAAAGAAATTCTTCATACATAATATTTTTCATCGTTCTTTTTACACATTTTTAACAAAAGAAATTCTGAAATGTAGTGTAGAAAATGAATAAATATTTATATTTTCCCAAAAAACATTTTCTTTTTTTATTTTAAATATTTATTCATTTATTAATTTCCGTATATTATGAGTAAGTAAGCTGCATGCACTCACCATTGTGTGTCGTTAGCAGAGTCCTCTCTCGGAACCAGCCGAAAGCTTAAGCATGCGGGTGTTAAGCGCTATATTACACTATCAAAACATATATAGGATCACGTTTAATTCTTAATGCATTTTATATACATATATAAAGATCCTCGTGTCGGGTTGTTCGTTCACGCTAATCTCCGAAACGGCTCAACTTAATGAAATTTCGTAAAAGTATATTGTATGCTTAAACTTGAAATATAAGCTATAAGTTTTTATCCAGAGAAGAAAAATTTAAGCCGCTAGCTAGATGGCGGTAGTGGTCAACCGACGTTTGTCGAGTCAGCTAGTGATCCCATACGTTTTATAGTGTAACTATACCCTTGAAGCGTGGAAAGAGACATGAATACTCTAGAAGAATTTTCCCTCGCTTTTTATATATTTTTTATTGAGCATTCATGCCTTTCGTGGCGCAGGGCAAATCATATTTGAGGTAAGACAAAAAATTATTAATATTAAAAATTTAATTAATGACATTCAACAAGCCACATTAAACATATTTTAAAGTAACGGAAGTAGTAGGTATTTACATTTGTTATAAAGTAAACATCCAGATAAATAGGTTGTGAACGAAAATTAAAAAAAGAAGAAATATTTTTCTTTATTTGAAAAATAAAAAAAAGTTCCTTTTTGTATACACAGCCAGTGTTATTAAAAAAAGAAAAAGGTGTGTATATTAAAAATATTCTCTCGTAATCGATATTCAAATTTAGAACTTGGATAATCTATACAGCATTTTTTTTTCTATAATTCTCACAAACATTCTAAATTTTTAAAAAGAGAACAAAGTACACATTTAAAAATCGTTACGTCACAAAACAAACATGTATTAAATATGAGATTGGATAAAACATAAGTAGCATAAAACACCAAACACACACAAAAAAAAACATGCGTAACCTTATATGTAACATAAAATTATAAAATAAAACATAGGAAAAAAAAACACAATTATACTCGTACTGCAATGTTGTTTGTTACAGTTATTTTATTTTTTCATTTCTTATTTGATAATTAAAGACTAACATTCATGGATCATATTCACTTAGATAGAGCATCGACTGTGAAACGACATCTCAAAGAACGGTCAGCCTTTATCTGACGCATATTTTCTATAACAAATCAAATCGCCCCATTCATCATTGTTGCATGTAATTCGATTCTAAATCCCTTAAATCGGGTAAATTTATTATGTCTTACTAATTACTTATTCGTGTGAGTGTAACGCCCTCTGGTGTTTATAGACTGCTTTCGTTGTACGCCTCTAATTTGGCTTACTAGACGACTTTACGTGCTCTTCAAAACACGGAGCTACACCAGTCTATTCGTGATTAATACGTAATTGTTATATGTACGAGGTCTGTCCGGAAAGTTCGTATAAAAGTGTTCTGGAATGCGAGAAAGAGGAGTGGGGAGGCCAGGTAAGCGCAGGACCCCTTCCTTATGTCCCTAACAATGCTTCAGTTCTGGTCTGACCGCCGTGCGGTGCGAACTGGCTTGTCACGCCATCTGTGAAGTTACCTCTTAACGAAACCCCGTCGGCATGGAGCCCGCTTCCGTTGAAGAGCAGCGCGTCGTAATCAAGTTTCTCTCGAAACTCGGCAAGAATGGCCGTGAAATTTTTGCCGATCTCAGAACAGTTTATGGGGATGATGCTGTGAAGGAACCAACCGTCCACAAGTGGCTAAAAAGATTCAGAGAGGGCCGAGAAAGCATCAAGAATTCGTCCCTCCAGGCCAGACAGTTGATGGAAAATTCTACGTCGATGTGCTCAGACGCCTCAAAGCTCGTGTGGCACGAGTTCGTCCAGAATTGGCGCGAGAGGGGCGTTGGATTCTTCACCACGACAATGCCCCTGCCCACACCTCTCTTGTTGTCCGTGAGTTTTTGAGTAAAAATTCCATTACGGTGACCGAACACCCCCCTATTCGCCGGAATTGGCCCCGTGTGACTTCTTCTTGTTCCCAAAAACCAAATTGGTACTTCGGGGGC